ACGACTTATCAAAACATCCACAAATGACGGGTCAACCCCCTCAGTCCTTACAACAACAAGTCCATCAAACCGTTCAAAGTAATGACACGCCAAAACACTCAGATTTCATTCAACAAATTATTAACTCAGGGTTCGGAAAAGCTCAACACTCACAACAAAACGCTTCACCACTTTTCCAAAACAAGAACTCGGCTGCTTTACGTAAAACACCACCAGCACAAAAGTCTGAAGAAAAGGGTGTAAATAGCCCACAAAATGTCCCACAAAGTCAACAGTTACAAATACCACAACTGGCCCCCATTCAACAACAAGAAGTTTCGCAACAACCCCAACCAAGTGCTCCACAACAAAGTCCACAAAAACCAATTGAAGACCTCAAACCAACTCAAAGTGCTCCAAAACCTCGGAACAAATCTGCCTTTGCGTCCGCGAGAATCACTTCAAGACCAATGCAAAAAACAACGGAAGTGCACGACACCGCATTACAAGTACTGATTATGCCTTGTATTACAGAATCAATGAGTGATGCGCAAAAAATCGTTTCGTTACAGAGAAGAGTCGACGCACTCATTGCAAAAGCGGTTGAACAAGACAGACTCATTTTCGACTTACAGAAGCGTAACAAAGACCCCAACGCACCAGAGACACCGTCACAAGACGACGCGTCCGAAGAACTTACTAAAAAGGGCTTTGTTGGAAGACCAAACCGCCCCAAAACCACTTTTCTTGGAAGAGGAAGACCACCAATCCCACTAGCACAGCCAGAAGAAGCGAATTGATGTGTTTTATGGCAATTGAAGTATTTCATTTATTGTTTTGGAACTATATATTTATAGTATTTTATTATACAAAGTATGGTTTAATACATCAACGAGCTCCCATGTGAAGAGTGTTTACGTGGCACATCACCGCACTGAATTGAAAGAAAATCAGTTAACAACATTGGAATTTTTTCTTTGGAGGTTCTTGAGGGACTTGCGGGTCTTCGATGACGACACGCTCCTCTAAAAACGGTTTCTGTGCGGGTTTGGCCTCTGCCGCCTTTTTTTCGAACTGTCTGTCACATATTGTCTCAATCATTTGCATGAAAGCCTTCTCGACATTTGTCCCGTCCATCGCCGAAGTCTCGAAGAAGTAAGAGCCAGTCTTTTTGGCGAACTCTTCCGCTTCTTCTGTGGTGACTTCACGCATCTGCTCCAAATCACATTTGTTGCCAATCACCATTTTCACAACACTCTTATCACCATTTTCAATCAGTTCATTGTGCCATCGGTCGAGTGCTTCAAAACTGCTCTTTTTTGTTACGTCATAGACCACTACATGTTATTGAATGGAATTAAATAGACAAGAATTAAAAACAACAACAAACTGACAGCACCTAAAGAACCGCGATAATAAGCACCAGTTATTGCTCGATATCTTTCTTGTCCCGCTAATATGTTACTTTTGTTACATCAAAACACTTAAATGATACAAACCAGTATCCCACTGTATGTCAGTAATTAATTGTTATGTGTACTAATTGTTTAAACTAAAAAATAGACAAATAAAATACAAACTATTTGTATGCGAACAGCAGAGTCTTTGTACTGTATTTGCTTCGAAGAAAATTCGACACCAATTGTGGACTTCTTTTCAGCATCAAACTCGTTCCGTGTAAACCGCATTAAAAGACACGTCTTTCCTGCACCAGAGTCTCCCATCATCACTGTTTTGTAAAGCACATCGTAGTCTTCCATTGAGGATTTTTGTTTTTGTATTTCAGTTCCTTTTTTTCAAATTATTTCCAACTCAAACTAAATGGTGGGACTTTTTGCCTTGACTTTCTAGTATTATTGTATAGTTAATAACTTAGTTTATATAGTTGTTTTGTCAAGTTGAATAATGTTTTCTTGTTGGTCACTTTATCACTTTAACTTGCTTATTACACACCAATTATGTTTTATATCTTATGTAATATTTTAATTTATATAATACTTTAAAAAAAAATGTGGGCATTTTGAAACAGAAAATTGTTGGTTTCATTTTGTCAAAATTGCGTTTTTATTAGTATTATTACCATTTTTATTAATATTATTATCAAATGATAATAATATTTATAGTTAAAAACAAAACAAAAGCAAAAACGAATCTTTGGTATTACATTACACTAAAAAATATCATAAAATTGATTAAAAATGAGAACATTAACTCTTAAAATAACACCCAAGTTTTTAAATTAAACATATATGAAAAAAAATAATTAGACATTTTTTGATGATTTTCCTTTTTTGGCATGATGTTCAGGTATACTATTATTAAACTTTTAAATTGTGGGAAAAGTTAATTATAAAGCCAAATTTCCCAACTTTTAGACAACTTATTTTTGTTCAATGTTATTTAAAATGTTAAAATTAAACTAAATAATTATTAAATTCGAATTAGTCTAATATTTTAATTAACCAACACATTTACTATTAAAATATTATAATTTATAGTTACTTTTTGTGTTTTTTATTTTGTTTCAAATCATTGATATTAATAAAATTATTTACTAAAATAATACTATAATCACAATGTGTTATATCTATACATCGCATTGAAATAACAAGTGCCTTCCTAGCTCAGTCGGTAGAGCGTGCGGCTTTTAATCGTAAGGTCCGGGGTTCGAGCCCCCCGGGGGGCGTTTTTATTTTTTAAACATTCTAATAAAATAGAATATTTATAATTTAAAAACAAATAATTTAATTAATTTTCAAGAAGCATTTGTGGTCTAAGGGCAGAATTCCACCCTTCCAAGGTGGAGATCCGGGTTCGAGTCCCGGCAAATGCACTTTTTGTTTTTAAGAACAACATAAATAAAAAATAGAAAAAATCCAAAATAACAAATAGTTTGTTGAGTAGGCTTTGCAGCCGAGAATTTTATTATCAAAAATTAGTATCGAAAAACGCTAATAAAACGGGTCAATTTATTTTCCCGTTTTATTAGCTTTTTTAGATACTAATTTTTTATAATAAAATTCTTGGCTGCGAAGCTTATTGTTGAGATATTTTAATAGTTTTTTGTTTAGTTTTATTCTAAATAAATAAAATAGTACATTAATTGATAAAGTGAAACATACATTCTATATATAATGTATTAGTAAAGAAGGTGATTTTGTGTTTTTTCGTTAAATATGTGTGGGTGTTTTAAATAACCACACCACGCAAAAGTTAAACAGTTGCATGATATAAAAGCGATATAAACCAATATAACAGTTCACCCAATAGATTAAAAAAATGCATTATCGACTGGACTGTAGCCCTGAGATCAAATTGTCTTAATTAATTTAAATGGCGAATTTAAAATTATTTCGTTTATTGTTTTTAATATTTGGATTTGCTTCAAATTAATACCAATAACGTTGTATTTATTTGAAATGTGAAATTTGCTGAATGAAAATAAAAAATGTAGAGACGTATTTCAACTGTTTCACAATAATTCAATTGATTAATAATACCAATTTAAGAAAATAATTAGAAAGTATTTTTTTATCTTAAACTAAATGGAGAAATCAGTAAATTGTCTTGGAAATGTATGCTGATTTAATATTTTGTCGTGCTTTTATATCAGGCAACTGACTTAATGTAACCAAATGGTTTACACTCTGTCTAAAACAAATGATAATTATTAATTGGCCTCTATAATTCCACTTTTATTTTCATTGTAACAGAGAAGTAGCAAACTCATTTTTATTGCTTGATTATAATTTTATTTTATTTTTTAATTGTATCAAATATAGTTCTTTTACTTTTTAAAACACAAAAAAGAAAAATTTAATTGGATGAACTAAAAATGATGGAAGAGAGTGAGAGTAACAAAGAGCTTGACACTCAAATTTTTTCGACGAAAGAGCAAATAAAGAGTTTGGAAAATCTTTTGGAACAGGCAAAATTGCATCTTGCGGCTTTACAGTCCAAGAGAAACGGCAAAAAGGTTGAGTGTGTACCAAACGAAACAGTTGTAGACAAAGTAATATTGAGATTTTTGATCAAGTCCGAAGAAAACGAGAGGTGGATCGACTGCGGCACTGAAGACGTCGAAAAGGAGGTGGCTCTAGTTAAAGAAAACTACAAATTGGATGGTGATAATTTGGAGCTCGTCAGACGCTACATACAAGATTTCAAAAAAATGAATGCTATTTAACCTTCTTTTTGCTAACCCAATTTATTTTAATTAAAATTAATGAAAAAGTAATTTATAAATGGTATTTGACATTCGTTTGTTATTATAAAATGTGCGATTTATTTACTAAATCACCTCGACAACAATGATGCGAGAAACACCAAATCTTTGTTGGTGAAAGTCAGTCCAATACGTCCCGTTGACGTCGTCGTCTTCTTTTACCCCGATCCATTTTGACAAGTAACAACATCTGCTTGTGTCAAACTTGGGTTTGTGGACGGCAATCCACCCATTCGCCCCGCCAATTCCAAACAAACAGTTGTTGTCTTGCCACACAGTGATTGTGGAGTCTGTCTTATCGAGAAGATCGTACTTTTCAACCTTCCCTTTTTGTGATTTGAGTCTGAACACAAAGAGGTTTTGATCAGCAGTTTCTTTGCCAACCTCTATTGGCACATCACAGTAATTACCAAACACAGTGCCGTTCCTACATATAACAATGAAATATAACCCCTTTCTATTCTTTATTGCGGATATAAATGAAGTGTTCGAGACTTCGTCCTTGTCTGAATCGAAGATAATATCCATTTTAGTTCCATTGACCCATCCCAAAAGTGTTTCGATTAATGTAAAAATCTCTCGTTCGGGTTGTGGAGTAAAGGTTTCTTCTTGCAACTCCAATTTTCCCACTTTTTTACGCGCCCAAATGCGTCGTCGTTCCGCTAAATCACTCAATTGACAATCTTTCATTTTATGTAATTCCTCAATTTTTCGTTCCACCTCGGCTTCCAAAATCTTCCCCCTCTCCGTTTCGAGGCAGACAGCTTTGTCAACCATTTTTTCGTGGGAACGACGTATCATTTCTACGTCAAAATCCTCTTTTTCCAAAAGCCCTTTTAGTGTATCTACAAATTCCATAATTTCGTTAAAAATTTGGTGACTCTTTCCGTTAACTTCTTTGAGTTTGTTAAGCACCATTCCCGCCTTTTCAATCTCGTTACTCAACTCACCAATATTTTTTACTGTAAATTTACTACAATCAGACTGGATTTCATATTTCGCAAAAACGTCATCAACATAGTTTTGGGAATTCTCCTCAACAAAGTGAAATGCCGTCTTTATATACCCCAGGACTTTTTGCATTTCGAAAGAAGAAAAAATTGGTTCCATCCTTTAACTATTTTTTCAAATTATTTAGTTTTTTTTCTTTTCAACTTTTTTTTCCACACTTATTCGTTTTTGTCTGTAAATTCTTTACTTTAGTCTATTTATAGTTTATTTAATCAAATTATTTAAAAATTTAATTATCATAATATACAGTCATGCGAAAAAGTTGTCGCGTTTGGAAAAACCTGTCTTGAAAAAATATTTTATAGTAAATTTATAATTACTTACTATACAGTATAGCTTCTATTCGATTTATTTGCAGGGTCATTTCACAAAAATCAAATAAAAATATTCGGCATTTTCAAATAACATTTTCTATTTCAGATCATTTGTTTATAGTACTAGAATAGCTCATTACCACCTGAGACAGGTTTTTCCAAACACGACAGCTTTTTCGCATGACTGTAGTTTTATTATAATAATTAAGTATTTATTAAAAAAATGAATCATAAAAAAACTATCAAATAAATAGTTAATATCAACTACAGACAAACAACCAAAAAATAATTTATTTACTTATTGAAAAAACTCTCGAAATTAATTTTTAAAAAGTTATTGTAATGATAACAAATTTATTAATTTTTATTAACAATTATTTGAATAAATAACTAAAATAAACAATAATTTAAATATATTATAAAAATATTATACCCACAATCAGGGTGGAAAACGGGATTCTATCAGCGCGTTCAATATGGAAAAACCAAGTTTTTTCCGCGCATGAGGAATAAATATTTATTATTAATTTATAGTTTTTTTGTTATAATTATAGTTACACCGACGCTCAAAGAGACGCTTTCTTGACACGTTGCATATACTTGAAACTATTTACCAATCTAAAATAATGGTAAATGTTTAAAAGTAAATAAAGTTGAGTTTTTTAAAGAATGGTTTTGTGTGGTTTTGTGAATAATTTTAAAAAAATTCATTATTGCATAAAAATAAATCATTAGTTCATTTAACCATAAATTTAATTATTGGTAAAGTCGACTGTATTTTGTCAATAAAAACATAAAATAGTCAATAAAATCATTATAACAATGAAAAACATAAAAGGAACATTTTAAAAAACAATGCAAAAACCAAACTAAAATAACAAACTCAAAAATCAATGTTAAAGTCACAAAAAGAATTTTGTTACACCGATACAGAAAAAAAATTCTGAATTTGACGAAGTGTACACGAGAAAAATTTTCTTCTTTTTAGATGGTAAGAATTGTTCGTGCATACTCTGTGGATATTCACATGAAGTAGATGCAAAAGTAAAATGGGACTGTACCAGACACTTCTGGAGTCATGGTCGTCCACAGGCTTCTGAAATTGTCATGAACAAAATAAACGAACTCTATAAAAAGGTGTACCAAACAAACAAAAACAATGGAAGTACAACCGAAAAAATAAAACGTTCATTCAAATGTGCTTTTGATTTAAGCAAAAAATTTCTTCCTCTCGCTGTCGGAAAAGTAATCGCAAAACAACTCAAAGATAAAGACCAACACGATTCAACTCCTCTATCTAAAACAACTCTCGCAGAAAGACCCCTTTTAATTGGAAATAATTTGGATGAAATGATGAGGAACGTGTTGTCAACGTGTATCGCCGCTTCTTTTTGTGTGGATACCACAACGGATTGGGGAAGTGATGATTATATTATATTATTTGTAAGATACACCGATGTAAAGTTTAACATCAACGTGTCAATTTTGGACTTTCAAAAATGTTGGGGAAAATCTGGTGAAATAATGGCAAAACAAATATTACATATCCTTCATAAATATATTGACTTAAACAAAATTGCGGGTTTGACGGGAGACTCTTGCGCTTCAAACTTTGGTAAATATAATGGTGCACTTGTGGTTTGTAGTGAGGGGATAAAAAGATCATGTTTAGTTGCATGTGAAATCAACGAAATAAATCTTATTAAATGTTTTATTCACCAAGAAGCATTATGTGCCAAAAGTATGATAATAGAAACTACAAAAGAAGTAAAGGAAAGAAATATACGAGTTAAAGATGTAGGTATACTTGGTGTTTCCGATCTTTCAAAAATTGAAAAATTCCACACAATTGCCACTGTAATATTTAAAAATCATAACTGCAGTTAGAAAAAGTGCGACAGCAAGAGATAAATTAAAAAAATTACTTAAATCAAAAAACATGAAAGGTCTTGAAAAAAAAACATTGATATACGTTGGTTTTCAAACGAAAAAAGTTTCACTCGTTTTTTATTTGTTTTACCTGAAATTGTATTGGTACTTTCAACTGTTTGTATTGATTCTTTGCAAATTAAATTGAGTGAAAAATACAAGTATCTAAAAACAAAAGATCTTAACCAGGATGTCAAATTAAACATTGAAAAAATTAATTTAATTGTTCTAGAAGAAGAAAGTATAAACTTTAAAATGAAACAAAATGACAACACAAAAAAGGAAAATGTGGGAGAAAAAAAAAGATGGGTAAAAATCTATTAGGTTTGGAGTTAAAAACTTAATAAAAATTCAAAATGAAAACGTCAATAAAACTGGAAAATATGAAAAACAACTAAAAATTATTAAATCAAAAAGTATAGTTTTACTTCCAACTCCAGTCGATCCAAATTGCCCCGAAAGAACACCAGAATTTCGAAAAGTTGAAGAAAGAAAACGAGTGACACGCGATGAAACTTTATGTGATTATTTGTAATGGGCAATATCGAACAAGTATTTTTTGTTTGATTTGTGTGTTTTGCGCGATTTGACAACAATATTTAATAATGTTAACTTGCGACTTCAAAAGCAAGATGAGAATATCCACTACTATATTGTACTAATAAAGGGTCTGAGGGCCAAAGTTGACCAAATTGAAAACTCACTACGCAACAATGATTATTCGTTACTTCCAACTGCAAACGCATTTGTAACAAAAAACAAAATAGAAGTAACTATTCCTATACATCTTGCAGCTATTATAACTATGAAAAAACAGTTGGCTTCAAGGTTTATAGAAATAGATCAACTTTCGTTTATGGACGACTTCCTTAATATGACGTGCATTACTCAACTTTTTGTCAATGAACACAATTACGAAATAAAAAACGAAGTTGAACTTTTTTCTTGTGATAAAATGTTTATTAAAAAGAACGTTGTCAGACCACAAACCGAACGTGTTGTGGAAAAGCAACCAGTTGAAAGTGAATTAATTAGTTCTACTGAACGATTAAAACAACATATTTATAATTCAATGACACATCACGATTGTTATTACACCATTAGAATGTCAATAAATGAGATATTCAACGATGAATACCTCAAACAAACATTTATTGTTAATTATCCAAGACTCTCCATTTTAGCAGCAAGATCTTTGTCGTTGTTTATGACTTCATATTCATGTGAACAAGGATTTTCCGCACTTTCTTTAATAAAAACCAATTTCAGAAGCCAACTGTCAGATGATATATTGAGGGCAATGATGATTATAGCAAATACAACACTTACGCCCCAATTTGATAAATTAGTTGAATTGATTATGAAAAGTTGTTGTTTTTTTGTTTACCATTTTTATCGTTTCGCCGTTTATTTTTAAATATTCCCATTTATTTTATTTTCGAAATAAATGTTTGATTGTGAGTGTTTATTATGAAAAGGTAATTTTTTTTAATTGTGTTTTTATTTTTCAAATTGTAATAATGGGAACTTTAAATATTTTTTTTTATAAAATGTTTTTTGGGGAAAAGTTTATCTATAAATCCCAAAAATGTGTAATTTTACTTTTTTCTCAATCAAAACTGGTTTAATAGGCAATTTTATTATTATGTGTTATTTAATATTTTAATCCACAGAAATTATTAAATTGCCAATTAACCCAAACCTCAACTCCCCAAAAAGTATCAAAACTGCGACCCTGCCCACAATCTACTATGAATTATTATAAATATTAAGAAAAGAAACAAACATTTTCGTTCAAAGAAAAACCCCGAAAATTTCGTCTTTCAAATTTTGGCATAAAAAAATATTTTTATGTGTTTAAAAAAATCAAATAATTAAAAAGAAAATAATCCACTTCTTCAACCAAGTGGGTTATTTTCTTTCTATCACCAAAAATAACATATGAACAAAAAAAGAACTCAAAAACAAGAACAATGGAAATTGATCCTCCTGTTTTTGAGTCAAAAATATTATTAGCAAATGATCAAGTTCCTTCACAATACCGTAAAGATGATTTGATGCGTTTGTTTTATAATTAATAATTTCAATAGAATTTAATGAATTATGATAACAAATAGAGGAAATCATTATAGCAACTTCAAAGTTTTTTGAGAAAGATGGGCGCTTTGCGGTAGCAGCGGTTCGAAAAGAGTTACACCCGAAGAGCTCGCCCACTTATGTGTTATATTTATATTTGTATGAGCGCTATTATCCGATTTGTCGGACACAAAAGGTCAACTTAAGTACGCGATTCAATTACAACAAAGTGTTCATTCAATTTAGTGAGCACTGCAACGAACTTATAATCTTTTGTGGAGACTATTTATACTTTTTCGTTCCAATCAACTGGAGCTTTCCATTAACTTCTGATGAAAAGAATGTTCACGTGACACCCTCCAGAGAGAAGAAAGAGTTATCAGAGCTCTTTTTCATACGATCAAAGTCGGAACTGAAACTCCCACAAATTCGAACACCAACTCAAGAGAGTGCATTCAAAGTGACTCCAACTTCAAAGTCTCAGAAACTTCCAAAAGACATTCGATCCTTTTTGGTTTGGACCTCGAGAGGTACTGCAATTGGAATTTTGGTCTCGCGAGACGGCATCATCATATTCTTCGACTTGATGACTTCACAAGTTCTAAAGGTGATGACGTTCTCGATGAATGTTTGTGTGAAAGAAGCGTTACTTTGCCTCGAAGACTCCAATGTCGACAAAATATCGACTTTTCTTGTTATAGTGTTTGAAACGGATTTTAACGACATGACTGCGGTCTGTTGCCAACAACTCGAAATCAAGTCGTTGCGTTCTTCTGAGGTCATCAACATCTTCACTAAAAATGTCTCTGAGTCTTCACTCTCGCGATTCGTTTTAAAGTCAAGTGGTAATGTCAAAGTCCACTACTTCAACAACAAAATGTGTTTGGGTTATTTCTCGAACATGTCCATCAAACTGTATTCATTGTATAACCAACTCCTCATGGTGTTTGATGTCTGTCAAAGCTTTCCGAGAAGTTCAGTGTGTTTCTTGAACAATAAATACCTCTTCCAATTCAGCAGACTAACAGATGAAACGCATTGTTGTGGGATAATCCCTCTTATGAAGTTGTTTGATAAAACACCACCAACTCAAGTCATCAATTTTGGAGTGGATTCCGTTTGTGTCTTCTTTCTTCTATTTTATTATATAATTATAATATTATATATTATATAATAAAATTACTTGTTATCAATATTTTAACTCTTAGAACTACTTCAATGTCAAAGGGACAGACCCGTTTTTTATTAACTTCAACACGAAAGAGCAAAACGCGATTAATAATTCACAAGAAAGTTCGTTAGATGGGTGTGTATTATGGAACAGTTATTGTATCACAGTGATTTATCAATCGCGACCAAAAGAAGCGATATTCTGCCACAAGTTTCTGAATGCTAAAACGGAGGCGGAGGAGTCTTCTGTTCTTCAATTGTTTTCGATAACGCAGTCTGTCGACCAAGTTGTGCAGACGGTGAGTCAGTATTATGTAGAAAAGGGTTTAATAGAGAAAGCACAGCGGTTATGTCAGCACAATCGTCCTGTATCACTTCCATTAGTAAAATTGAATTTGATAAATATGGAATTCACGGAAGACGAGTTTAGTGCGTTAATTCGCGATTGCAAAGAGTTTATAAAAGTTGGATCGAGTGTTATAGACATCAAGAAATATCGCACGGTCTTAATGATAGTTGAATTATGCAAAGTGATCAAATTTTACATTCCAAATGACAGTGAATTTGTCGCTTTATTAACTTCGTTGACTAAAGAAGAGGCGGCTTTTGTTCTTCCTTTACTCTTTGCAACACAAAAGGATCAATTTGGGAATTACATCATCATGTTGTTAACTAAATACCCCATTTTCATTGAGGATTACATCAACTATGTCATTGTCCATGGCTACAATTTCATCGACTTTAATCAACTTGTGAGAGCAACACCAACGCATTTCATATACGCCGTCATCAATTGCAGAACAATTCTTGCGACACTTTCTGTCCCAAGTATCGAGACCGTCTTCTTTAAAGTGTTCAAGAAAACACCATCTATTTCATCGCTCCAAGTCATCGACGAAATGCTGGAGTTAATTAAAGGTGCAGAACTCGTGGAGTTGATCCAATTTTTAGACCCACAGAACCCTTTATTTGATGAACCGTTTCCTGTGTTCTATGATGAGGCTTTCAAATTCGAGTGGATGACCGTCTATTGTAAAGCTTCACTCTACAACTTGAAAGAAAACATTTTGTTGGGCAACCAAGTGGATGACATCCAGCACATGAAATTGTTCGTCGATAAAATCGGTCGTTGGGATCTCTTAGACTTCGAAGAAATCGTCTTGTTTGCCTCAAAACTCGAACTCTACGCAATTTGCTTCATCGTCCTGATTTACGCAGAGAAGAACACCAAGTCACTCGAATACTTCGTTAAATACATAACTCTTGTTAAAGCAAACAAATCTGAAGTCGATCAAGCCTTTGCTTTGGTCAATGAGATTGGCTCGCCCATCGTCAAAGAGCAAATCAAAAAGATTGTTTGTTCTCTTTCTATGATATTGCTATATTCTTTTTATATATAGCTATAACTATATTTATAATTTTAATACTAAAATATTTACTATATGTGAATACATATCGATTCAGTATGACAAAGTAATATTCTTGAACATCAAAACTGACTCTTTAGCTATACAAGTTGTGAGCCCTTTTGTGTTGCAGTCAACCAACACTTTGTAATTCACTTGTGTTCTTTCACGGTTCGTATGTGTATTAAAAACACGCCAATTTTATACTAAACTATTCAATATACCCAACAACGCACTCACGAAACAATCAATGAGACGCTTTAAAATGTACGACAGATGGAACACAAAGCAAGTTTGCATAAGTTGGCTGCTGCTTTGCGAAAAATTGCGTTTGCGTCTCTTCCATCTTCTTCTCGCTTCTGTCCCCAAACCCCAGCATAGCAACCTTCGACACCAAAAACCTCTTGAATGACTGTGGGAGGACAGACTGTTGAATAAATTGTTTGAACCCTAACACTGCACTTGCACCGTTTTCAACGCGAAGTGCTGTCGTCAGCAGTAATAGTAGTGTGTCTGTAATGCTTTCAATAAACGACAAATCCACAACACTGATTGGTATTTCAAATTTCAATAAACACCCCTCAACACCCCCTATGAGTATTGTTATGTCTTCTACACTACTCACATTCTTCGATAACGTTGTGAACAACTTCAAGAACATTGGAAGGTCATTCTTTTGCACGTAATTCGATGATGAAAATGAAACAAATTTCTGTAGCATTTCTGTGTTCTCTTAACAGTTAATTCATTCGTTTGTTATTATTATTAATATATTATTAATATTATATTAATATTATATTATTAATGATAAATGGTAAGAAACAAACGGATGTACATGAAGAGATGATGAATGATTTGCACAAACCCTTCGGCACATATTTCCTTACACTCAAGATTAATTTGTGATTTGTTTTTATACCACTCATTCAACTTCACAACAAGAAACTCTTTCATAGTCATGTTTTCATCATAGATCGCACTTTGTTCGGCAAGATAGTCGAGTATTGCAACAAACGTCTTCACAAAGATTTCGGACGAAAATACCTTTGTATCAAGTGACTCCAATATAGTGTTAAAATCGTCTGCTGTGTATTCCGTAGTAAGTGTTATATACATAAGTGAGTCGACTAACAACTTTTCATCTAATACATTTAACATCAACGAGAGTGTCGACACCTCACACTTCGTCAAATACCCAACGTCCAATGGCCCTTTCACAATACCATTTGGTTTCCACAAGAGCCCGCTGAGCACTTTCTTGTAACTGACCTTCGCAAGTTCATCGCCAATTTTCCTTCTGTCTACAGTGGCTAGTTCGTTGAAATTCCCTCCAAAAGAGTCAACAAACAAACACCCAATTTCGCTTTCCTCGAGCATATCAAGCCCAACAAGTGTTAAACTCAGGACTTCATGTGACATCCGCACATCCCAAATCCTTTCTCCATTAAAATCTACCATCAACATCATTTCAGACATCCCAGAAAACACAAATTTGACCTTTTCGCGGTCTTTCGATGCGACAGCGCTCTTCAGAATCGGCGTAATAAAATGTTTTAAAATGGTTCCCATTTCGACAATGCCCGTTGCTATCATGTTGATCATGACTTGCATGACCGTGGCATTGGCAATTCCATTCATCACAACACTTTTACAAAACATGATCGGAAGGGGGATGTTCGGAACACATTTGCAGCTCTCTTCAATCAACTTGACATAGTCCCCAACGTCTTTGTTAATGTTACAGATAAGAACATTTAAGACAACTTTTCCTCGTATATTTTCATCAGTGATTTTGCTCACGTCTTCCTTATATTTCGTGAACTCTCCAACACAAGTGTCTTTGTCTATCTTTATCTCAACGTCTGTTACTATCTCACTAATTTGTTGTCTTCGGCTCTTCATCTCCTTTTTGACTCGAAGTAAAACACCAACTGGGTGTTCAATATAGTCTGAAAGAAGTGCCAAAAACATGACACTTTTCTGTTTCAGAGTGCTGTCCACTCCATTAGCCCGTATTATCGAGTAACAGCAAATCGCCAAATTTGTGATTTGAGGGTGGTGATAGACTTCTTTGACGTTCTTTATTAAGGCATCGAGGATTGTTAAGACATCACATACACCTTTTCTTACAAGGGCTGGGTGAAGTACTTTGACACTAATACTGACCGCATGATACCAATCTTTCTTTTCTAATAACTCATTAATCGGACACTCTGTGTTCTTATTCTCATGGATGTGAGCTAAGTACTCTTTAAAGATCGATTGACATGTTTTACAGACATCAGCGAGCTCAGTATCCGCAGCCTCCTCTTCACTCTTCCCAAACTCTTCGATCCGTCGCGTCTTCTCCAATTCCTTCTCTTTGATCTTCTCTAGGCGCTTCTTCTCTTCAGAAACTTTCTTCGCTTTTGTCTTTTTTGACTTCTTTGTCCGCTTCTTTGTCTTCTTCTTTGTCTCTTCTTTGGTCTCCTCTTCTGTCGCGTCGTCCTCCTCTTCCATGATACTCTCTACTATCATATTCGTCATATAAACCTTTCTATTTTGAACAAACTTGTTGGTGGAGTACAAGTTCCTAAGAATGACGGGCATATTCTCTGGGGGTGAGGTGAAGATCTTAGAGAGAATGACTTGAATGTCGAGCATATGAAGTTCCGCCAAATCGGAAAATATGATGCACCTCCGTGCTGTGTGTGCCTTATCCAAAGACGCCAAAGCAATTTGTGTGAAGTCGTCGATATCAAAGGTTTTGATATAACACAGCAGGAGATATCGTCTTTTCAAAAATTCATTCCCGCCTTTCTCGACGACCCAGTCGATAATTCCGTGTATTGGCAAATTCGGCAATCCTTTACTTGTAAGGTCGGTATTGACGATTTCCATTCTTGGGTTTCTAGTATTGAAAATGACTAGACATGGTTCCTCGACTTTTCCTTTGAACACTTCGTTCTGGACCTCCGTCTGTTTTGTCATCAAGTTGGATTCTTGAAGGATCTTTTTGAGAAGCGACACATAGGTGTCGTCCTTCTTGTTTTCGAGAGTTTGTAGTTGGCTCACTCGTAAAGCTTCTGGTTGCAACGAAATGATTTTTGTGACTTGGGAAGGGGCGGGTTTGATTTGGAGTGCAACTTCGATAACGTTCGGAATTGACAAAATTTTGTTATCGAGCATTCCCAAGTCACCCCCAAAGTATTCCGACAAAAGTGCCTCAGGGAGGTCGACTGGGTGTTCTTCATTCTGTCGTTCTTTGATATCCTTTGTGTCGAGTGGTGTAGAAATAGTTTTTGAAAGGTTCAACGCCTTATATAACTCGGGAGAGGGTAATTGGAGTTGGTTAGACCGCCATGTCACATCTTTAATCAACAAACTCAGCAAATTGAATTTCGAAGGAAATGTGTCTGCAGAGTCGTTACACTCGTACCCACATATTTCTTCAGCAGTTTCTTGCCTTTTCTCCATTTTTGTTTTTCAGTTTTTGTCATTTCAAGTTAATAACATTTTATTTCTTGTTATTCTCCTTGTCATTAACGTGCTTATTTAATTAGTATTTTTTAAATTGAATTTAACGAGTCAATAATCATGTTTTAATGGTTCTTTATTTGATTCAATTCTAATTATAAATTAATAAGGACAACTCGTTATTGATCAATTATTAATTAATTATTAACCTCGTTAATTTTTACATCGACTTTAATAAAACAAATTGTATTAATATTAATATTTAAAATTATAAATATAGAATTTGTCATTTGATGCTTCTTCTCGCCACAACCCTAGACTTTTTAAATTAATATCCAATGAAGTCGACTGAAATCAGTGGAGTGAAGGTATACAACTTAACAGCGGGGAAGACGTTGCCACAGTGGCTCACAGAGAAACAGCGCCGTCAGTTACGTAAAGATGAAGATTTTAAAAAGCGAATAGAGTTGATACAAGACACTGAGTTTACTGTGAGTTCGAGGTGCATCAAATTTTCACCGGACAACCAATACTTAGCCGCGTCGGGGATGTACCCGCCACTTATTAAAATGTTTGAACTTGACCAACTCTCAGAGAAGTTTGAGAGAAGACTCGACGCCGAAGTCATCAAATTTGATTTTTTGGAGGACGACTATTCGAAATTGATGTACATGTTGTCAGACAATACTATGGAGTTTCACAACAAAGGTGGGATTCAATGCAAAATCAAAACGCCGAAGACGGGAAGAGATTTCACATATTTTCCAAGTGATTGTAATGTATACATGGCGACTAATGACAAAATTGATGTGCTCAATTTGTATGAAGGGAAGTTCAATGATTCGATTGACATTGAAATGCCGATTAATTGCTTTGAAAAGTCCGAGAAATACCAAATCATATTTTGTGGAGAAGAGGAAGGGTCAGTCAGTGTGCTCGACCCACGAGTCGGCAATTTTGTGTCACGAACACAAGTATCAAATCATCTCGTTAATCACCTTGATGTGAACGGGGGTCAAGTGAGTAAAGTCGAAGTGACGTCGATGGCATATGATGGGAATCTTCAGTTATTAGTTGGGACATCTAATGGAAATATTTTGACTTATGACATTCGATCACAGAACCCACTCCTTTCAAGTTATCATCAAAATAGAATGCCAATAGTGAAGTGTATGTATCACACAACTCAGAACGGTGAATTCAGTGTAACTGCTGATGCCAGTATTGTTAGATTTTGTAAAAAATCCGACGGGAAATTGGTGTTGCCATTGGAAGGGTCTAAACGATCGGTCATTACTGATCTTGCTATTGCTAATAACTCCGGACTCTGTGTAATGGCTGGCGACTTCACTAAGTTACAAGTCTTTTATGTGCCGATGCTCGGCATCGCGCCTAAGTGGTGCAGTTTCCTCGAAAACCTTACAGAAGAATTGGAAGAAGAGGAGGGCCACACTTACGACGACTTCCAATTTGTGACAAAAAAGGAATTGGCAGATCTCGGACTGGAGTCACTCTATGGTTCACAATACTTGAAGCCATACATGCATGGGTACTTCATACACATCAAGTTGTATCAACGTGCAGTCGCTTTAAAGTTTGTTTGAATGTTACAGTATTATAACATATAATTTAACACAAAATTTTAACACTTAGGAACGACAATTGATTGAATGGAATTTGACAAAGTCAAGTAATATATTATTCTAAGAAACTTTGGTTTGTTGTTGTGTTCGTTATTTTATTCAACAAACAAAATAATCAATTGCTGAAATTATAGTAAAATTGTAGTTCATATAAGTAATAATGATCAACAAAATTTTTGTCACATCTTTTCTTGTTAAACATGTCGTTAATAATAATTTAATAATTAATTTTATTATAATTTTATTATAATTTTTAATAATATTATAATAAAAATAAATTACGAAAAAAACTTTTTATATTTGCGTGTAATAATTTTATATTTTTTGGATTTATGATTTGATTTAAATATAACAAAATAATAGTTGAAATTAATGACACACTAATTTATAATTAAAAATAGTAAATAATAGTAAATAATAGTAAATAATAGTAACCTTTTAAAATAAACTAAAACAACAGCATTATTTTATTAATAACATATTATACTAACACAATGAAAACAGTCACAAAAGTATATCAGTCCATTAGCACAGTAACAAGGAATGATCTATTCACAATTTATAATATCGTACAGGTTTTGCTCTTTTTCCGTGGTTTGATGTGTTTTTCTGTCGACTCTTTTCCCTGTTCTACAATCTTTTGAACAAGTGTGTTAAACATTTCATTGATGTCGGTTTGGTTGCGACAACTGATCTCAAAATATGAACACCCGACTTTATTCACAAAGTCCAATACTTCGTCGATTGGGACTTTCCGAATTGCGAACAAGTCTGTTTTGTTACCGACAATGCACATAAAAGAAGTGTCGGGAGAGTAATGTTTAGCGTCTTTTAAAAGACCCTTTGCATTTTCAAATGTGGTGTGGTCGGTTATGTCGTACATCACAATAACGCACTGACCACCGAGGTAGTTTGACCAAGCGTTATTTGTGCTTTTTTCCATCTTCAAGTTAAACTGTTTTTGTAATACCTTTTTTTATATAAAAAAGTTCACCACACGACTAAAAGACAAACAAGTTGGACTGGAAAATTTCCTCCGATATTTGCAGTAATCCCATTGAGTGCATTTGAATAATCTTTTTGATGCTTTTGGTCACTTCTGTTCTGTTTGGCATCACAAGTTGAGGTGTTGTGATGGAAGTAAATCGTTATATATAAGTAAATTGCTTATACATGTAATTAAGTATAATTAAGAATACACAAACGACTACACCACTAATCAAAGCAGACTTCCCAACACCCTCGTCTCCAATTAATACAAGCCGTTTTATGTTATCCAAATTATTTTGGTCAGTACTTTTCCTGGGGGTGATAGGTGCAGAGTTATTGACGATTTTCTTATGAGGCGGAGACGAATAGGGTGCACCAATTGTCCTTTGCATGGCCATTTGGTATTAAAATTTTAAGATGTGACGAATAGTTCATCATCTGAGGGGGTCTAATGAGAATTTTTTAGAAGACGTATGTAGTGGAATTGTTATTGTATATACGGAAACGGTAATGCCATCCAATTTTACTCACTTCAGTTTTTAAAGTTCGTTTGATTCGCGGATAGTATTACTAACTTTACGGGCAAATACTATTACCAAAATCTTTCATTATCAGTTTGTGGATTTTCTACGTGATTTCTAATTATTAAAGAACGTGTTTGTCACTGGGAAAAAGTTAAAATCGATATTAAAGTGCTACCCCTTCTCTATTAATATATTAATATATTCAAATAATAAATAAAAAGTATTAAATTATACCATTCAATCTTTGCTATTTTTTTCTTCACTTTCCAATCTTAGTAAAAATTAATAGCACTGTTCTTTTTTTAAAAAGAAGATTAAAAGGTAACAGTTCTTGATGTTTAAAACAATTATTGTAAAAAATACTTATATTATATAGTTAATTTACTATTTGTTTTGAGTTAATTTGTTTTTTATAATAGACCAATGATTTTGAGGTATTAGTCAAAACTATTTAAAAAAACAACGAATTTGAGCAAAGTCATATTTGCCTTAATAAACTAAAGTAGTAACTAAGAAAAAGTATCATGTGATAATTTATTATTTGTACAAAAAGATGGCGACTAAGCGAATATGAACACATAAAAACACAATGATTCGCTCTTTCAAAACTGGATTTTGTATAATTTATTTGGTTTTAATTATTGCTTACTGGACAACACATAACAATTACATCATTGATTTTTGATGTAAATAACAATTTAAGGATCAATGGGTAACTGTTAATAAAAACCCATGTCTAGTACCAATACACACACCACACGAAGAGTCCCAACAAATGGGATCATAAGAACGGAAATTGACCAAGAGGTTGAAAACGCCAGACAATCAACTCAACCACCAACACACACGAAACAATCTCCCACTTCACACTTTTTCTTTAATGTTCTAATCGAAAGATATGGCGGGCTTGAATCACTCTTTACATTCCTTGGACTAAACCCGTTGGTATTCTTGATGATCAGACCGGTGGTTAGTGATTTGTATGTGGACAAAAGAGGAAAAAAGTCATTCTTCTACAATCCCGACGACCGCATCCTCCTTCTTTATTTGTTCTTTAAGTATGATAAATTAAGAATAATTCGTGATCTGTGTCTTCCTTTTGTTAAAACCAATGAACAAATAGAAAGAGAGATCATAATAAGTTCAAAACTGTTCCTTCAGATTATGAGAGACTCTTTCATTACATTTAAGGGCGAGAATCTCCTTAACACTAATGTAAGTGCTATTATCGATTGCACGATGGTTCCTTGTAATCGACCAAGCACTTATTTCGCTTCTTCGATGATATTTTACAGTGGAAAGTACAAAGCATATTGCATTAAGGAGGAAGTAATCGTGAATGCAGAAAGCGAAACAGCAGCTTTTGTTTCTCAAGGAAAACCAGGAGTACAACACGATATGAAACTTCTGAAAGAAACGGCTCAGGAAATCAGTCATATGCTGGGAGGAAAGAAGATGATAGGTGACAAAGGGTACAAGGGAATTGATGCTTATGTTCCCAATTCGTTTATCCCAACAACAAGTCCTCTCCGTGAAAAATGTTGCCTTATTGAAAGATTCTTCGGAAGGCTTAAAACCGTCTTTGCTTTTGCAAGAACAAAGTTTGTGAAAGCGTTTGAAAATTTTGATGCCATGTTTGTTTTCTCCTGTTGTTTTTGCAATGTTGATATCCAAATTAACCCACTTATTGCGGAAGATGCAGCTAATTACCAAAACATTGTTGACAATTTCATGAACAGCATAGAAGAAAGAAGAAAGCTGCATCGAGAGAGTAACAGAATTTATCGAAGAAGACAACAAATTCAAATGAATGCTCTTATCAATGAGCAACATAGAAATGCCCGAGAAGATCAAAGTGGAGAAGATGAGACTGAAATTGAAGCAGACTTTCGTGATGATTAAAATTAACTCAATCCAAAAAGCTTTTTTTATTTGGTATTTTTTCTTTAAATTAAACGGGAATTGTGGAGGGATAGGGGAGCATTCTCATTTAAACAAAGAGCAATCTTTGTGATAATTTCCCAACTCATAAGAATCTTTTATTACCCTTTTTCCTCAATTTCTTTCTCAAGTCTTGTATTTTGAGATAAGTCATATATTCGCCCAAAAAGATTGCTACAAGAAACTTAAAGAAAACTTCAAAGCAAGATGATACGTTTCTTCGGGAAATGATCGGAAGAGAAAGCATTTCCAGAGTTTTTCAATTAAAGAATTGTTATTGTGATGATGTGGCTTTATTATTCAAAAAGTAGTGGACAAAAAGAAAATGATTCTATAATTAAGAGTCGAGTCGATTTCTGAAACGTCATTGGTCTAATGAAATAATTTATTCAACATTTTTCAACTCTTTTTTTGTTTTTCAATAAAAAGAATAACATATTTGAATTATTATTGTTAATAAAAATGGTTTTTTGTTATAGAGGGATATACCCAAATTGAACGGGTATTATCCCGTATCTAAATTTATATTCTAATAATAATAATAAACAAAAACCCCGTTTTTTAGTACTTATTTACACTTCTATTATGTTACATTGTTAGTAACAATGTTATTTAAAATATAACACAAATTATAATTCCACAAAAGTTACAGTTTAAAACAAACAATCAAAGATTATAACTATGAGTATAATTGAAATAATCATTAATAATAATAAGTAACATTAAAATCATTTTTAAAACAAATTTATTAATGTTTTTATTGGATTATACCCAATTTTTTCCAGTATTTTGACGTAAATTTTATTCATTTAATAGTTCCATTTTTGGCTTATTCACTTTAAAAAAAATAATTAATAATAAATCAATTGTATAATAAAAAATTATCATAAGTTGTTTCTTTGTTGTTAGTTTTTTATCAACTATAATTTTATAAACAGTGTTTGAATTCAAACAGTGTAACAAATAATCACGTGATAATTTGTTACAAGTCGTAATAAAAAGTTACATTTTAACATTTGAATTATTGAAGTTGCAAACCACAACTTTTAATAAAAAGTTGTGGTTTGCAACTTATTTATAAAGTATAGTTTTGGGTTTCACTATATCGAAGAGAACGAAGTGTTGAATCACATTTTGAATATAACTTATAATAAAATATCATCAAAACTATCACTTTCCAAAACTCCGTCACCTTCCTCATATTCGATAAACTGTTGAATTTTTTCGCATTTAGTTAATTGTTTAGTTTTTTTGAAATTAACTTTTTGTTTAACGTTTTGTATTTTGTTAGTGTAGATGTCTTTAGCTAGTTTGGATGATATAATTAAAGTTTTGATTTTGTCGCAAAAGACATCACACAGTAATTGTTTTTGATAGAAATAATAATGGTTATTAGTAGTGTCGATGTAATTGTTGATGGTATTGTCGAATATATATCCAAACACGATGTCATATTCAATAATAAGGATTAAAGTGTCTAATGTACAGTCCACTAAAGGTTGCTTAGTTTTGTCTGACAGCACCAAAACAAGACTTTTAAATGTATACGAGCCGACTATCTGCACAGTCTTTATCAGTAAAAGTGGTGCGTCGATTCCTTGTGAATATTTTTTTATAATATCTTTGTCATACTTTGGAAATGTAACACTGACGTTCTGAGTAATAGTGTTCAACTGTAATTCTTCAAGTACCTTCGCCTTAGACAAATCAACACTTTTGAATCTTCCAAAGAGTCTGAGTTGCTTCAAATTGTCCAAACTCTGCCAATTCCCAATTTGAAATACTGCTTCGTCCACTGCTATTTCACATTCAACTAACGTTCTTGGTAGAAGTATAACAAGTGGTGGACTTGTAGCGTTAGAAAACAAAAATTTGGTTAACCTTGAGAAGTGTGAATAGTCCAAAGTTCGTTGTTTGTTATGTACACACTCAATCCCGATTGAAATCAATGTGTCGTTGATACTTATTAGTTTGTATAGATCATCGGTAAGTGTTTCAAGTGAAATATTTAACACTTCTCGCTCTGTATATATCGGGTTATTAATACACATTTTTAAGTTCTTATAATAAAGTGTTTTAAAATAAACATAGCTTGATACACCAACAGACGTCTCAGTACGCTCTTGACATAATTCCTCAATGAACAAGGGCAATTCTTGTGAATATGTGTTACATAGATAAAATACAACAACTTTGAGTGTGTGCATTTGAATCAGTATTTTAATATCTTGCCCAGAACTGGTTTCTAAAATTACCACCTTTCTTAATTTGTCAAATTGTGGTAAACTCGTGATGTGCTTCTCTTTGATTTTAACTGCGACAACTTTGTTAATAAGTTGTGGATAACTACGAACAATATCATTCACATTCTCTTCGTCCAAACTGAAATCGAACAAAACGTTGTTGTATTGTTGAATTTGTTCTTTGAAGTATGGTAGGATGTCGAAAGATTTCCCAACGACAGTCACCAAATTCGGGAGAAGCTTAAATAAATATTTTAAATTCATCCATTTCATCATTGGGTTCCTTTTTAATATTTTCACTCCTTCACAACAATTCTTCGAGACTTTAATTAATGTGTCTAAGACTGTCCGCTGTGTTATATGAAGTGCGATATTCGCAATATATACGGCTTCGATCTTTGTCATTTACTATTAACTAGTTTTTATTCTTATTACTAGTTATTAAAAATATATTATATTTATAATATAATTATAGAATTTGTTTTTTTTATTTAATTTGAAATGCCGAATGTTCAGCATTTCAAATTAAAAAATCAATTCAATCTATTAATAAACTATTGTTTATTAATAACAATTGAAAAACAATACTTAATAATCTTTTAATAATTTATAGTTATTGTTGTTGCTCTACAACTTTCTTTTTGAGCTCCAAAAAACCACGAAACAATAGTAAAATATAAGAAATAAATAGTAATAAATACTTATTCTTGTATTGTATCGAAATATTTTTCTAAGAACTTCAACACCATAGTATATTATTTTCAATGGACGAATTTCAAATCCAAGTTTTGAAAGAGATGGAAACGAGTCTCAAAAGAATTGCCCCTTTCATTAAAACGAGCAAGTCACCACAATATTACCCGATTGCAATTCAATTTCAGAACACCCTTAAATGTTTTGATATCATACCAATCTCCTTAGGGATGTTACAAAAACTGTTTTCACACTACCTCCATTTTCTTCGAGTCCCCGAGGTGAACGCATTAATGGTACCATCGACGATCCGGTGTGTTATTTTGTTAGGATCGGATCCAAGAAACACACCATTTCTAGTCGACACACTTCGATTCATAATAACATGCTCTTTTGACCAAAAGCTCCGAGTCATCGAAACTTTTTTAAGAAACATCTCTTCGGTCCAAATCAGTTCACTCATTCCTTTACTTCTTCCAATGGTCTATGCGCCTTCTTCACAAGATACAATACCAGACCAGTCTCTTGCAGCTTTCAAAGAGCTCCTCTTTTGCTTTTCAAACGATGTGTCCGAGCGAGATAAATAACATTTTTGTACAGAACATTGAATTTTTGTTATAGAACGTTGCACCACTGAACTGAATAAATTGAAATATAAGTTACTCTTTTCTCTACTAAAACTGTAAAAGAAGTATGAACAAGTCGGACAAGGACGACACAAAACCACAGAGCAACTTCTTCTCATTCAAGGCAAGCGACTTCTTTCACCTTTCAGTGAAGCCACAATTGGCAGATACTGACTTGTTAAAAGTCTACCAAACAACACTGGAAGGCTATTTCACGGAAAGTAAGCCAATTTCTGAGGCTTCTTCACAACAAAAAAAGTACATCATTTGCGACGAAAAGGCTAAAGACTTACTTGAACTGACTATTGGTCTCGACTTACAAAAAAGTCCGTGTAAATTTGAGGACATTTATTTGTTAGGCTCCGAGTTCCAAACAAATGCCCTTTCAGGCGCTTACGTTTTCTTTGTAATTTCGAAGGTGGAGTCGTATGAAGAAGTTGATAAGACCATTGAAAAACTCACGGCGACAAGCTCGGAGAACCCACACATCACGGTGTTTCGATGCTTTTCGGGAACAGAAATGTGGGACTTAGAAATCATGTTTGGCTTCGACAACTTCACGAAAAGGTATAAAACAGAACGAGGCGAGAACGGAGAGAAAATAGACGTCCAAGAGAAGTATAAAGTTGATTACATCGAGAGACTCCCCATTGTCATGCCAGTCATTATGGATGACTTGGTATCTTTACAAATTGATGATGCATTCGCAAGGTTTGTGATTCATCGACATCACTCTATAACATCCAAACAAACTAATATAACAGATTGTATTGTTACTATGATGTTGGCATTGTACAATTGTCCGCAGAGGGTATCAATAATCTGCAGCGGATTATAGGGCGCTTCCCGCGCATCCGAAGTGTCGGAGAGTATTCTAAACGACTTGGAGAATTGATTGGACAACCTCTTGGTGACACTCCAATATCAAAGGATTTCATGGAATGTATCATCTTTGATCGTACTTTAGACATGTTAACGCCAAATGTGAAGTCGATGGCGTATATGTCCCTTCTTGATGAGTCCGAGAATTTGAATGGGGACTGTTCGACGATAACGACTGAATCGAGTATCATTGGAAGTGCGACACAAGTCCAAGCCCTCATTGAATATGCCAAAAATAAGAGTGAGATGAGGTATCCCCTCTATTGTAATGATTTCAAACTGATTTGCGATTTATATATCGGTTCGGTCCAACCAGAAATTGATAAAGTGGCTCAGAGAATTAAAGCAGACGATTTAACAGCAGAACAAAATAAAGATGAGACACAAAGAAGTCTGATATCGTACGTTAGAATGCCTATTAGACTACAGTCGTATGTGTTTAATGACTGCCACGTGGAATATGTGAGTAAGATTCTGTCTTCATTGTTATGCGACATGAGTGACGACATGATGAAAGTGAAGTACTATTTGAAAGACTGCGTCGACTACTCCTTTGGACGGTTTTTCGGACTGAAACAAAACCCATTTGACTCTGTTGAGGAAATGATCTATGAAAGTCCGACTCTTTCCACTTCGAAATTTCCATCATTTTTTGGTCGTGAAACATTTCCGGATAACATTGCACGAGTTCTTGGAAGACTTTCAATGTTGTGTGGATTGTACAATGGAATGGAGTCTGAGGACTTTGATAAGTATCAGAAACTACTCACAGACGTTTATGGCATTTGGGTCACATCTGTGTTGGCTAAGATGGAGAAGGTCGAGTTCTTATTTAGAAAAGGAACACCCAATTTGAGAAGAAAGGCATTCCCTGAAATCAACTCGGTGATGCCAAGTTATTCAGACGGAAGTGATAACCCAAGAAGTCAAGTTGCAGGCGACTTTGATCCGATTGAAATGAATTATATGCACTACCAACCACTCTTTTCACAATACCTCAAAGATTATTTGGAGTTCATTCAAGCAACACAAAACGAGATGACACAAAGAGAAAACAATGAGGAAATGGAATACACTCTTCAACGAAAGCTTGAAAAAAGAAGAGAGCGAGAGAGGAAAATTAGAAATGGCGAACGAGTCGATGACGACGAGGAAGACGAAGAAACAGACGAACACGGTGTACCTCTAATTAAGCACACCAACTTCGTACCAGTCAAAAGTAAAGTTGAAAATGAAGAGTATCAGAAAATGAAGTTTGAACATAAGACACAGTTGGATTCATTATTCACTGGCTGTGATGAGGAATATACAAAAATCGTTGGCGAGTCGGATATAAACGCGCCGTACATTTTTGTGTTTGTCATAGGTGGTATTACTCTCGGAGAAATTTCAATGCTCAGACTTATTGCTCAAAGGTGTTTGTTATTTATTTTCATATGTTCATATTTATTGATAATAACATGTAGATGGTAAAAAAGTTATCATTGGGTCAACCAACATTCTGAGAAAGAAAACGTCCATCCCACACCAAATCGTGAACGCGTGCTACGAGGAATACACACGCATCAACACAACAATAAATTAACTCGTTCATTTTTAAGTTGAATTTTTAAAGTGCCGTTTGTCTGTTATTGTGTCCAGATATTGGTTTATTAAAATATAATTTAATTATACCATTTAATAACTATAATTTAACAATAATTTAGTTAATGGTATATTATAGTAATATTGAACTATAATTTTGATTCCTCTTTTGAACTGGTTTATCTTGTATTACTCAAAGAGGAATGAATTTGTTCAAGAATTTGCGTTTGGGTACGTTGAGAGAAGATGCCCCAACGCAAAAAGTGAAAGAAAAACCACAGGAGTACTCGATTATTGTTATAGACATGCGATACCACCCAGACAGAGTTCTCAAACCATCATCACAATTACCACAAATCTACGTGTTTCTCCATGGGAAACCTAAAACACTACCACAGAAGTATTCTTATACCTCTGACGAAGTTACTATATCATCACCGTACAAATTGTCAACTCCAAAAATCATTGAAACACAATCGCTTTATAATAGAGACGTGAAGACGTGTTGTGCGTCTGTTGTTGTGAATTCCCCAACACCATTTTGCGTCATTGCAATTTGTCTCAACAGCATTTTTGGAGCAAAGGAAAACGGAATTTTGGAGAACGACAAAGTGCTCTCGACAGAAGAACTTGTCTTGTATTATCTGTTTTCAGTCTTTAAGTTGCCTTACAACCAAATGCTAACCTTTGTGTGTGGAGACTTTCTATCAGATATTATAGACGCCAACAACAACATCAAAACCACTCCACAAGACACTTCACTTGCTTCGATAGATTCATGGAGTAACGAAGAAGCCGAGTTTAAAATATCCGAATTGGGTGATTCTGATCTCTTAAGCGCACTCTTCCAAATTGCTCAACGTAAAGACCGTCTCGGGAGTTTAGCTCGCAGTGAAATTGTTGCAAAAGTTCTTACTGAAAATGCGATATCCTCAACTACATTAGTTCAACACGACAAACTCCCATTTCTCTTCGTTGATACAATGTGTGAATTATACAGTCAAATTTCGACTCTTGTCAATGCAACAAAGAAGTCGACTGGGATATACGAGTTTGTGAATGACTACACCCAATTGGTAGCTAAGAAATACAAAGAACACATAGAAGGAGGACTCACATTTTTTCAGCTGTTTCGTGGGCTCATGAAATACTCTCGTGTTGTTCCAAAGGTGGACATTCAGACACAAATCCTCCTTGGAACTTTGAAGCGCAAAGTCGACAAAAGGGACATCGATTTCCAACGAACAAACTTCCCCAAACTTTCGTCATTTGAAATCAAAAGCGCTCTATCACCTTCGTTTATGGAACTCATTCATTATTTCAATGCTGTCTCTCCAGAAATTATACTCAATAGTGTTAGAGAAAGAAACCACTTACACATTTTGATTCCACACGCGGAAAAGGAAGATAAAGTGAAGTGCGTGAAAATCGATGGGGCCGAAGGCGATTTGTGGTTCACGTTCATCGTTTTTGATTTTTGAGAGGGTCAAGAATTTGTTGGAAAGTACACTTGAGGGAAGACCTTGACTTTATGTGATTTTTTGTTTTGTTTCGCAGTTTTTAGCGGAGAGAAGAAGATGCATTTTCTTATTGATTACCTTTAAAAAGGATATAACCGTTACAACATGTTTCTTGTTATTTTGTGATGGGCTTTGTGGTGTTTTTGTCCTTTCACAATAGTTATTTGCTTGTAATATCTTGTTTCAACATTTTGAAGTTGTTGAAACTCACTATTTATGCACAAGCCTTTTATTTTCACCAAAAGAGGAAACTGGATATATAAACAGTATGAAACTGTTGGTTAATAAGAGGTTTTTCATTGGTTTTTATCTTTCTACAATACTCTCTTTAATAATTAATGTGTATGGATGTGATCAGGTGAAGTGCGACTGTGTGGGTGGAAAGTGTGTATCCTGTCGACCAGGATATTACTTCAAAATAATGAATGAATGTGAATTGTGTGATGCTGGGTTTATCAATCCTCAGCACACAACAAATATGGCATGTCAAGCATGTCCACCCGGAACGACTTCGGATGAGTATCGGGTACAGTGTAATCCATGCCCACAAGGTGAGTACAATCCATCTACAGGTTCTATTTGTTTGAAGTGTGAAAATGGCACTTTCACAAATCAAATAAATTCAACAAATTGTCAAAAGTGTTCTTCATGTGTATACTGTGATCCTGCGACTGGAAATTGCCTTCGTTGTTCCAAAGGAGAAGGTCTTTTATTGGACAGATGTATTATATGTGAACCTGGCTATTTTGGAATTGGCGGATACTTGTCGTGTACTAGATGTCCATTTGGATATATTGCACCACTTAAAAATTCGAGTTCATGTATACATTGTGGACAAGGAAAAACATCAAACGTGTATAATACCGAGTGTATAATTTGTCCTCCTGGAACATCAAGTACATCTTCACAACTCTCTTGTAAAATGTGTGAAGATGGTTTTTACTCTGAAGGGAACAAACCATATTGTACTCCATGTGGAGAAGGTACTACATCTTCGGATGACCATTCACTGTGTGTTATTTGCCCAGCAGGAACATACAATTCACAAAATGGTTCTACTTGTAAAGAATGTCCAAATAATACATACTCGGGTATTGGATGTACCAAGTGTAAAGCATGCGAAAATGGATGTGAAAAATGTATGTCACAATTTGGGTTTTGTGAAATTTGCCAAAGTGGTTTTCGTCTTACAGAAAAATACACATGCGAGGGGTGTAAATCCGGTACTTATTCTTCAAGAGGATCGACCACGTGTTCAAGTTGTTTAAAGGGGTATTACTCAAAGGAGAAGTCCGAGAAATGTGAAATGTGTTCGGAAACCTGTTTGACATGTTCCAAAACGAGTGGAAATTGTCTTAATTGTGAACCTGGCAATTTTATTAATGGTAGTGTTTGTCGAACATGCCCACCTGGTACATTTTCGGATGGAACAGATTCAAAGTGTTTACCATGTCCAAAAGGTACATTTTCTTCAAAAGAAAAATCTTCGAGTTGTATTCAATGTAGACTTGGAACATTTTCTGATCAGGCCGGATCCTCAACATGCAAAAAGTGTATTGGATGTCTTAATTGTGATAACCAAAATGGAGAATGTAAAAATTGTGAATATGGGTTTTTTGTTCACAACAATTGTTGTGAACAATGTGTACCCGGGACATATTCAATTACAAATAGTTTGTTTTGTGCCGAATGTCCTTCTGGTTCTTACCAGACAAGAGGTGGGTCAACTATTTGTGATTATTGTCCATTTCTGACATATTCCAATCGTGGGTGGCCTCATTGTAAAAAGTGTTCTCCAAATTGTGCTTCGTGTGATTCAAAAACTGGTAAGTGCCTTAGTTGTAGAAAAGGAAGAGGCATGGTCAATGGAATTTGCGAAGATTGTGTGAAAGGTCAATACTCTAAAGGTGGAATCACTTCATGTCAAGGGTGCCCTTTAAATACATTTTCGAATACAACTGGTTTGGATAAATGTTTTCCATGTGAAATCGGGTGTGATGGTTGTAATAGTTCTGATGGAGCTTGTATTTCTTGTATTCCTGGATATGGGTTTTACAACCATCATTGTTACCGTTGTTTTTCTGGAACTTATTCAAAAGGAAAATTTTCTGAATGTATTTTTTGCAATGCTTCTTGTAAATTTTGCGAACTTACAACAGGAAAGTGTCGTGACCATCCAGAAGGGATGAAGGTGGACAAATTTGGGAAGTTGGTATACTGTTCTATAAAGGGGGTCTGTTCTAAATGTGACAACAACACAAGTGAAGAAGACAGAAAATGTGTTCAATGTCAACAAGGGTTTTATTTAAATAATACAGACAACAATTGTTACGTGTGTTACAATTTGGACCATAATTGCGAAAAGTGTTCAACTTCAGAAAGAAAGTGTTATACTTGTTCGGATAATTACATTTCTGTTGGTTCCAAATGTGAACTCTGTGGCGATGGGTATTTGAAAATCCATGAAGAATGTGTTGAATGCTTCACTTTGAAAGATTTTTGTAAGAGATGTGTTAAAGACAATTCAACAATTAAGTGTCTGGAATGTTTTTCTCCATACCAGTTGGTTAATGGGTCTTGTGAATTTTGTAAAAATCAATTACATTTTGATTTGATTACAAATCAATGCAAAGATAATTTGAAGTGGTGTGTCGAACAAAACAATAACACCTGTCTTGCTTGTGAGATAAACAAAAATTTGGTCAAAGGTATTTGTCTTAATTTAGATAATCAATGTTTGACTTTTTCCCAAAAATCGTGTGATGTGTGTAACTCTTTTACAGTGAGCACTAATGGATCTTGTGTTAACACAAAAAATAACTGTTCAATAAGCAAAGAAGGTGATAACTCAACTTGTCTGAAGTGTGAAGACAATTATTATTTGTACAAGGGGCAATGCTTGGCTAAAACGGACCATTGTACATTGTTCCATGATGGTTCATGTTTTCAGTGTCAAAGTGGTTTTTATGGTAAATTATGTAATGCATGTGGAGGGAATAAAAAATGTGTTGAAGTAAACAATTCTTTGTATGATCTCACTTGTGACAATGGACAATATTTGTGTGCTTCTTCCAATTTATGTATTGAAGAAAAGGCGTGTGTAAAGGTGGATGGCAATTATTGCTCAAATTGTGACACAAATTATCATTTATCATTCGGGAGATGCATCAAAAATACCCAATGCACAATCGAAAACGTAGACAAATGTATTTATTGTGAGAATGGGATTGTCTTTAACAATGAATGTGTTCCAAAGGATAAATTGAATTGTCTCAAAGTCAGATATAACCAGTGCCAAATGTGTAAGCCGGGCTTTGTTCTTAAAGAGTTTGGGTGTGCAAATATGTCATCTATATTACAAGACCCCTATTGTAAACACATGAACATTACACGTAACAGTTGTTTAAATTGTGGTTCTCGTTATTACCTGGAAAACGGGAAGTGTGTTCCAATGATGAAAACTGTTCCTATCTACCCATCCAATTATAATCAAAATTGTTTCGAAAGATCATCGAATGGATGTATAAGATGTCAAAGTGGTTATTATATCAAAAAAGGAGTGTGTGTCCCATGTACAAATGGATGTATTTCATGTTACAATTCGACTTATTGTACAAAATGCGGCCCATTTAGATTTTTGGAATATGGGATGTGTCACGATTTGAACGAAATGATTGTTCGGTGCGAAGAACTGATGCCAAATTTGCGAGGGTGTTTGTGGTGTCGCAATGGATTTTTCAAGGCGAGTGATGGCAAAAATTGTGAGTTGTGTATGCCATTTTGTAAAACGTGTGTTGAAAGGGGATCGTGTATTACTTGCAACGAAAAATACTTCCACTTGTCTCCACGCGAAAGTTGTGAGTCGTACGACAATCTTTTATATTGTGTCAATAAAACAGAAACTGGGTGTACAAAATGTGAAAATGGTTATTATATAGATAATGGACTTTGTACACAATGTACACTCAATTGTCAAACTTGTGCAAATCAAATTGATTGTGAAACTTGTCAAGACAATTTTGTGTTAGTTTCAAATCGGTGTGTTTATTATTTGGATATTCCCCACTGTGTCAAGTCGGGTCACTCAATGTGTGTTAAGTGCGAGAGCGGGTACAATGTCAACTTGGATAAAAACGGATGTAAAGTTGCACCCAAGACAACAACCATCTTGGTGACTGTTAGTATTGTTTTATTGATACTCTTTATAATATGTTTAGTGATTATAGGGGTTGTTACGTTTATTCACTTCTCTCGAATTAAAAAAGAGGAAACTAAACGCAATGAGAGTATCACTGTGTTCAAAATGGCAACATCACAAATCACATTTTTTAACATTGGAGACGATATTGTGTGCAACAAGAGAACAGTTTTCTTTGAAGGGTTGCTTCCCGTCGACGAAATATCTCGAGAACTTCTTTGTATTGGGAACATTGGTAAGAGTCGATTAAAAGTACAGCTCACAACAAAACAAAACCAGCCCGGATATGCGACTGAAGTCACTCCCAAAATTATATCCCTCAAGAGTGGATTTGCTTGTGAGTTTGAAATAACAGTCAAACCCCTCTACTCAACAAAAGTAACTGATATCTTAGAAGTCGTTGCAATGCATTTACAAAAGGGAACGACCATCACCGCACCAATTAAAATATGTTTTGAGACAGAGGCAACATCACATCTTGATCCAAACGACCTCACCTATGAAAAGAAAATCGGCGAAGGTTCTTTTGGCATAGTGTATAAAGGGTTGTTCAAAGGAAACGTAGTAGCTATCAAGAACATGAAAGACGTTGGGTTCATTGATGCATTAGAGGAGTTTAAAAAAGAGATCTCCATGTTCGACAAATTTTGTTCTGAGAACATTGTCCACTACTTTGGGAGTGTCATAGTCACAAACAAGATTTGTGTTGTCACAGAATTCGCACAATACGGCTCGCTTGGTGATTTAATAAGGAAAAAGGTTCCAATTGACATGAAAATGCGGTTTAAACTGTTGTATGATGCTGCTAAAGGTATTGAATACCTCCACTCCAATGACATATTACATCGCGATGTTAAACCAGACAACATCCTCGTCTTTTCATTAGAAAGAGACATTCTTGTGAATGCAAAATTGACTGATTTTGGGTCATCGCGGAATGTGAATAGTTTGATCACTAACATCACATTCACTCGAGGAATAGGAACTCCAGCATATATGCCACCAGAGATTTTACTTCAGAGGAGATACGAGAAAATGGCGGACGTCTATTCCTTTGGTATAACAATATATGAGTGTTACTACGGGCATCTTGCTTACTCAAAAGAGAAATACCCATACGCTTGGAACATAGCTCACGCTGTTGTAAATGGGAAGCGGCCTCCTTTTGAAGAGAATGAGAATTGTGACGTCATGAATCTTATAGAGAATTGTTGGATGGATAATCCACAAGACAGATACCCAATCGAAATTATCACATCAGAGATATACACTTTGCTGTATTAAGAAGCACACACGAGTAAATAAGGAGCGGAAGTCATCACTAAATTATATATAAGTAAGTCCTTTTATAACATTTTGTATTGAGGCGAATGTAAATCGGAAGACCTCTTTTCTGAGGTGGAATATAATGACTGTTGGAAGAGTCTCTACACGATATCTCTCGACCATATCGCAACTCTCGCAAACTAGAAAGAGTCTCACGTGGTTAGCAGTAGCGACAGTTATCAATTTTTCAATCGCGTAAATGTCTGGTACTACTTCGGTCTGAAATGAAAACATGAGCACAGACTTTTCACCCTTGTCAATATTACTAAACTGGTCAACAGAATTCACTTTGTAAAATTTGGTCCAATCGACTATGTGATTTAAAGGTAGTGATATTTCTTTATCCATCTCCCCGACTTCGTTCATATCTTCTGCTTTTTAAAGTTTTTTATTCAATTCAATGTAATATAATATATTAAATAATTATATTTAATTATATTATGGTTAATATGTTGAATAATATTTTATTATATTATATTTTATAATATTTTAATATATTTACTCAAATAATAAGAATAAGTAAGAAATTACTTAATGTTTACTCTGGTTTGTCCCCTCTTGGCGTTTTGTCGTCTTTTTTCTTCTTAGAGAAGAAACTGAATTTGAACCCTTTGCTCTTCTTCTTTGCATCCACCTCATTAATTGGCACCTTTTGCACTTTAGGGACAACTTTTCTCGCCAAAAAGTCACCTTTCTTCTCTTTCTTTTCTGGCTTGACTATTTCAAGGCAGAACTGCAAGTTAGATGAAGTCACCGTTGTCATGACTTCCGAACATAACATCGAGTGGACTTCCGCTCTTGGGTTTTGTACATCGACGAAGAGATTAAGAGATCTGATGTATTCACTTCTTTTGTTAATTGGATTAGTTGTTGGGGCCAAGTAAACTGGTCTTGAGTAGTTAAGCGCAGCGTGTCTAATCAGTCCAGGGAGAGCAGACGGAGAGACCAATTGTTCCTTAATGAATACTCCACATGGTGAGTTTGTCAAGACTCTCAAAACATCGGATTGTGTTGGCAATACAATGATAGTGAACTTTCCTTCAATGCTTTCAATTTCAGTGTCATAAGGACTTGAGTTCCAAAAGACCACAATGTTATCGGCATCAACTGCTTCTTCCTCATTCATCCCACCAAGGGTATTAATGTGGAACACCATTTCCGCTTCTTCATTGGAATAATAGACAAACTTCTGGTCCGTTTCTGCATACAATCCACTGAACCCTTTATGAACGGTTGGGTCAACAACATGTCCCAAGCCACGAATGACGGAGTTGTATATTGGGCTTGGTGATGATGAGTCTGGGCCATATATGATTGTGACACCAATCAAATTGCGTGTTGGGAGGACATCAAGTTCCAAAAGTGACGTGATCAAGTCGTCGCTCAAGCTAAGTGGGTGAAGCCTCTCTCCAGACAAATCAAGTAATCCAAGCGCACCAAGTAATGTTTTTGAAATAACAGCTTTGCATGCAAACTTAGCATCTTGGACCATTTTGGCGGTCAAGACTCCTTCATTCTTTTGGATTGTCGGGACAAAAGTAGTGGACTTTTCTGCATAGGCGATGTCGTGGAGAGACACAGTGTTAAATTCCTCAAGCCAAGTGACACCCTGTCCTTCTTCGTCTTCAATGTCATCGCCATTGCATTTCAAAGCGGGTGCAATGGCCACTTTCTTGGTGTTGTCATGTGTCAAAAATACCTTACGTGACACTTTGCCGTATTTTGTTCTCACGATAACAACAGCTTGTCCGATATCCCATGGGAGTTCGGCGACGGTGATGACTGCCTGATCCTTAAAGACAAAGATTTTCATGTATTCATCAAATGACGTTATTTGATGAGCGTTGTATGCGTTCATTATGATAGCCTCGTTCATCTCTTCGAAGTGATCAATCACATCGACATCAATTGATGACAAGAGGGACTGCGCAAATGTGTAATTTTCAAGCGCGCTTCTTTTGGAAGCGTCATTGAACCAAGCGCAAATCTGCCCACACAATCCGATCACCTTCATCAATATGTCTTGTGAAATGTGAGCGTAGCAAGCGCCAAAATAGATGGAATACACTTGCAAGAAGTCGTCAATGATTGGACTCGATTTGTAATATGTTTCTATGAAGCCGTGGAGGATCATCAGTAACTCAATGAGAATGTTATACTCCCCAATTTCTACCAAAACAGACTTCAACACACGCATCATCTCCGTGAAACTCTCGTGAAGGCGTTTTTCGACTAACACACCAACAAATTGTTGGATGGACTTCTGTAAGATCGGAACAAATTGCTCCACAACACCAGCACCTTCTCTTGGTACAACATCATTGAAATACCTTGAAAGCAACACAAACAAGTCTCTCAAGTTGAGTGGGTTTGTTTCCGTCTGCAAGAAGACTTCACAGATGGAGAAGAATGTCTTTGAGAAATTGGAGAATGCAAATACGTTGTCTGTCAGTAACTCGTGGCAAGAGAGTTCATTACGTTGTTTGGAGAACGATAAGTGGATGAGTCCAAGTAACTCGATGCAGCACGTACGAGTGTCTTTGCTTCCCGGATCCACCATATTACCAATTCGACTGGCAGCCTTAAGAATGGATGGGTACATAACTTCTTGTGATGGGAACGACAACAAAATGAGTTGTGTCATGATTTTAATAGCAGAGAAGATGATCTTTCCGTTTGGCGACAAAATGGCGGACGACATGATTTGGTACAACACCGAGAGATTTTCTGCTCTAAAAGTTGTTCTGAAATTTGTGACTCTGAAAACAGTCCCAATTGTCGTCACTGCAACATTCACTGCAAGTTCGTACCGGATGTGATCAAGGCACAAAACCACCTGTGCAAGTGGCTCGCCAAATAACTTGATGATGGCATTACCGTCGGCAGCAGACGCATATCTGCCGTCTTTGTTCGACTCGATCATGTTCTTCACAAACAGTGAAATGCCATCAGTTATAACCAACACAACAGCTGCGTCTTGTAATTGTGCAGGAGAGCCACATAAATGGATGAACCTCAGCCATGTCTTCAAGAAATATGGTAACTTGAAGTTGATATTAATTTGGACTTTCTCAGTTGAAATGACCAAGTCGACGGCTTGCTGCTTGTTTTCCACAGCAGTCAAAAACGCTTTTTGGAGCTTTAAAGTGATATCGACCCACGCTAATGCTACCTCTTTCGTCTTCGCCCAGATCCGGTGACATTCTCGGAAAACCGCCCAAAGCTCTTCATCAGCTTCTCCGTAGTTCAACCAGACCTCATACACGGCGTGAATCAGTTTGTCTGCAATGTAGTTGATCACAAAACTCTGAGAGTTGACGTGTTGCTTACCACAAACATCGTGCATACACCCTAACAAACAGCACACCAATTGCCGTGACATGTCACTCCCAGGCTTATATCTTGTCCCTATCGCTCTTAAAATGGAAACGGCTCGAAGACACAATTCAGCATATCCATTCAAACTTTCAGCACTGCCACTTCGTTGGTACAACAAATTGGTCAATTGGGTCATCGCAACTCTGTCGTAATGTGCTCGGGTCTCTTCGAGAATGGGTGGGACGTACTGCAATTTGACAAACCATTCCTCGTAGATAGAAATACAATGCGCAATAGTTTTGTGGTCATCGACGGGAAGCGTAAGACCACACCCAATCACTTCCATAATCCATTTACAATGGTCGTGCGTGCAAATTCTGCTTTGGAATTCTTGTGGGTTTGAAACCAATTCCAGGGAAACGCATTGGACTATGGTGCGCTGGATTTCCACTTTAAACATTCTGACAATGTCGGTGTTCAGCTCGACACTGATCAAATTCAACTCGCCAAGGGTAGGTGAGAACACTGAAAGTGAGTCATTTTTTATCGCCTAAAAATCGTATAACACCACAAACTTTTTTGAAATTAAAATAATGAAGTTCTAAATCATTTTAAGTAATAGAACTTCATAAGAAAAAGGTGAGAACTTTTATATCAAACCCGAGTTAGCCGTTATTTTTAACACATGTTAAAAAACATCAATTTGGATCTGATTTGGTGAATTTAGATGGTAAATTTATAATAATACAAATTATAAGTATAGTTTCATTGCCAATTAAAATTTTAATTCATTGTTTTAGTCAGTTAAAAAAGAAACTCAAAAAGAAAATTCAATGGTTTGCTACACCACATTGCCAAATACTTAATCTGTGAACATACTAAATTTCAGGAAGATCAGGACGAAACACTGCGGCTAAAAGTACTGGTCATTGGACAGCCCGCTGTTGGCAAGACATCAATTTTACGACAATTGTGCCAAGGAACATTTGTAGAGGGGTACAGAGGAACAGTTTGTGTTTCTTCAATAATTTTCAGTAATTTGGTTTCAATATTTTTACCTGACATTTGCTTATATAATGAATACATTGTTTGTTGCGATTAACGAGTAGATTGGTGTCGAGTTCTATCCATATACACTTGAAATACAAGGCAAAAAATGTGAATTGACGTTGTGGGATGTTGCAGGGCAAGAGACATCGAAGTCGTTGAGTCGGGCTTATGTTTGTTATTTCCATTAAAATAGAGTGTGGAGATGTCTTAGAATATAGTACAATGGAGCCCATGGAGCAATTGTAGTTTATGACACAACAAACAAAGAAACATTTGAAAGAACAATTGAGTGGAAAAGAGATTTAACTGAAAAGGTGCAATACTCTGGAATTGATATTCCAGTCCTTTTGGTTGGGAATAAAAGCGATTTGTTGGACGAGGAGAATTTGGTCAAAGAGAAGATGAAACTCAACCAAAAGGCGAGTTCGGAAGAATACGTTACAGGGCTCATGACGAGCGCAAAAATGGGAACCGGAATTAAAGAGTCTGTCACGGTACTTTGTGTGAACATGCTTGATAGATTCAAAGACGTTTTTGAAAAGAAGGAAGACATAATCAAACTGACACCACAACAGCATCAACAAGAAAGATGTTGTTAAATATTATTATAATTGTTCTTTCGAGTTGTTCTTTCTTGATTTCACATATCATTTTTACAATGTGTTGTTTGAATTCAATTTCAATAAAGTTGAATGTACATACAACTATTATATGAAAAAATTATATGTCTATTTGCTTATGTTATAACATGAATGTGGTGAAAAGCGTTTTAACTAAATATTTTTAATATCAAATAAATTTTTTAATATTGTTTTATCGCAACAATTTGAAATGAAATAATCGAATAGAATTGTTTGAATTAAAATTTAAAAAAAATCGATTATAAATTAAAAAAAAGGTTTTTTATTTTCATTAAAAATTGGATCTTAATTGTAAATATTTAAATTCTTCAGCTTGAATGGATTTTCAATTCCAAGCCAACACTAACTTTACTCGTGATTAAACCAATTGTTTATTTGTCATGTATCAATCACCAAATATAACAAAATTCCGATTATTTATTCAATTCTACATTAATTAAATTAAAAAAAAGTAATTGTAAAGAGCACCAGAAAACTGTCGTACATCAGAAAATAGTCGTACACATTGTTTTAAGGTTTTTTTCTGTATAAAGTCGGGTTTTTATTTTTTCAAAACCCAATTTTTTTCCTGATTGTTTAGTCAAATTTTATATGTGAAAAAATATACCCGATTTTTTGGTTTGTTTGATACTAAAAACACAAGTGTACGACAATTTTCTTGCTGTACGACTATTTTCTGTTGGTCTTTAATTATTTTTTTTCAAAAGGATTTTTTTATTTTTTTATAGTTTATAATCTATAATCACAATTAAAATATTATTTTTTGTAATTAGTAAAAATGAGTTTTGTGTTAAAACACAAAATTGGGTTTTTTGTGTAATGATTTGAGTATTAAATTAATTATTCACAACAAACTTTTATTATAATATCTATTTATTTTGTATTGCGACAAAACAGTATTTTTTAAAATTTTATTACAAATTTATTATTATTCATATTAATTAACTAATTGATATGGTATAGTTTTATAAATATTTTCAGTATATTATTTCTAAATAACTTTTTAATTTTAAAATTCAAACTAGTTTTTTTATGTATTTTTTATTATATTGAAAAAAAAACAATCCAAAAAACTGGTTTAACCAGTTTTTTAGCAGAACTCGAAAACAAAGATATATTTTCCTGTTTTTCTTTTTTTTAAACACAATTTATTTTAGTTATTAAACTATAATATTTAAGATTTTTTACAATTGAATTTTGCAAAAATAATTAGAATTAAAATAACAAATTAAGGAAAAAAAACAAAAACAATAAAAATAAATAGACAACCCATTTTTTAATTTATTTCGATAATTAAAATAATAGAATTAAAACTATAACATGTATATAATTAATAAAATCGAAACCAAAATAAATAATAATAAAATGTTTTTTTTGACTTTAAAATCATGTTTACATAAATGGTTGTTCAATTCTGTTTGTTTGAAAAATTTGTTTAAATAACAAATTGTATTACACACTTTTGGTAACGATTTGATTTTTGAGTAGTTTTGCTTTGATGCAATTTCATTATAAATAAAAGACTTTTTATTTTTGGTGTTTTGTAACAGCATTTATTGTGTGCTTTTTGAGTTGTATCTGAGCGCATATCTTGCATTGCAACATTGTTTACATAATTGTTTTAAAAGCAATAAACGGAATCGAAAGAAGTTCATACATGTCCAGTGAAATGACAATGGAAATATATATCAATGACTTTGAATCAAAAAAACACAAAAAGTGTATTCAAAATCAATGAAGTTTTTAACAATTTTTTTTGATCTTTTAATTGAATAAATATTTTTGTTTTTTTCTTTTTAAAAAACTACTCCGAAAATAGTCTTTTGATTTTATTATTGTTTAAATAATTGTAAAATAATAAAACAATTATTTTCTGTTAAAAATGAAAAAATAGTTTTTTTTTTCAAAAGATGCTCAACAACTTAAAACCCAACCCGAAAAGATATCATATTTGTTATTAATTTTTTGTTATATTATTATGTGTAATAGAATTAAGTTGGGCAAATTTGTAAAAAAGAAACAGTGGAGAAATGGGTTGTCATAAAACAACATGTTTTAAATGTATATTGGTAAGCTTTGTAAATACGTGCATTGTTTGATTTTTAATTTAGATTTGTATTGGAATTTATGAGAGTTGGTTAAAATAATTATGAGCAGACTATCCACTTTTAGGTTTCATACAATTTACATTTAGTTTCGGGAAATGGACTTTATGAAAAAAGATTGCTTTTCTGTTCCATCAAAGTGTTCCGAATATAGAAATAAGGGTGTGTATTGCTGTTGTCGTGCAAAATGGAAGGTGTTTTGGTGATGTGTCTTTTTGGCTTTATAAAACCAGCTCTTTGCAAACAACATCGAATAAAACAGACCAACGGAATTTGTGGGCAAAAACAAACGAGTCCGTCAATCGTTTGTTGTCAAACTGCTAAACCTCTTTTAAAACTTCAGTAAAAATTAACCAGACCCTTTCTTTTGTTTAGTGCGAAAAGAACAAATTACATTAGAATGGAATGCGTAACCAAAAGGTAAAAACACTATATAAAATCGCAATTTACAGAACCTCAAAGGAATTGTCTTTGATTGGTATAAAAGCTGATGGAGGCGATTTTTGGAAATCCTTTGTGAATTTCGACTTAAGTGCGCTTCTGAGTTCGGCCATTTTCGTTTGTACGTCGCCATCCTCTTCTTTTCGAGGCGCTTTGTTTACATGTGAGTAAAACCTGTTTTTGAGTGAGTTTGGTGTTCGCCCAATAAAGTGTTGGCTAAAAAGTGTCCATTTGTTGCCATGTTCTTTTTGTAACGAGTAAATCATATTATCTTCTTCAATGCTCCAGGGTTTATGCGACACCTTTTCAGATAGACAGTTGACGAAATGCTCTTTGCACTGCTTTTTCGTCCGGTTTGGAATTGCTACCATATCCCAATCAATAATTTCCACATCTTGAACCAACGCAAGGAGCTGTTCGTCCTCTTCCTTCGTCCAGTTGACTTTCCTCTGCTTCTTAGTTTTGTGTTCACTGGTCTCAGCCACGGAGGTCGAACTTGATGCCAACATGCTAATTTTTCAAGATGAGGATTTTTATGAAATTCAATTATTTTTCAAAAATAACCCTCTATTTTTTAACGCCTTTTGGCCAATCAGAAATGGATTATTTCACAAAGGTTATTATGCATTTTGAGGCAAGTTATCTTATGTGGTTATGTATTTTTAGCCGCCCTTAATTCTGAAGGCGAATCAGTGATAAAAAATCAGAAAGTAAAAGAAGAGACAAGAATGCAGAAGGAATTAATTTTTAACTTGTGGAAAATCAAAGTTTCACAACGACAAAAACAGAATTTTTAAAACAAAATTCCATTTTCTATCAATTTATTTTAAGACATTGTTAACAGAATTTAGTTTAATTATTAACTCACAAATCCAAAGTAACTGAGCGTTTTTGGTATTCAATCACAAAACAACACATCGATTCTCTGTTACGGAATTTTAGTTGATTATTGTTTGTATTTCAAATTAATTTGAATTGGTATTTTTATAAAGAAACATCCTACAATGTGCAAGGCACTTAAAATCTTTTATTAAAAAATATGTATTTGTTGTTGACAATCAAAAAGTAAACATGTGAAATGCTCTTGCTTATTTTTATATGATCTTTTTCAGTTTATTTTGTAAAGAAAAAATATAGTTCAAACAAGATCCTAATGAACCTCAAAATAGTTCTATATACATTTTCTTATAACAGCCGTTTGAAAATGCCACGGAAATGGAGTAATTTTTTCTTGAAAAAAACCAAAAAGTTACCGACTAACATCTCTGTTATTTATAAATAGAGTTGAAAAAAAATACAATTATTTATTCTACAAAATCGGGATTATTCACAACTCGCCATCAAAGCAATACTAGTTAATAGAGTCGTTTTACTAAACGATGTGCACATCCATAGTAAGTCAAATGTCCAACTTTTCGTTTTCGAAAAAACTTCAACCAACTCTTTTATATCACAAGATGTGTAAATATGAAATGTATCGACCGTTTTAAGGCATCAAAAATATTGTATTAAAACAAAATATCGGTACAAACAAAAACTATCAAAATAAATAAAAAGACCTTTTAAAAAAAGGTACGTTTTTATACAAATATAATCCACGTATTAAAAAAAAGGTTGAAAAAACTATAATTTGTATTTAACCCCTTTTATTTTATTGTTGATTGTTTTGATTTTATTTATTGACCAACAGCAATACCAACAGTTCCATTATATAAAAATACACGAAATTGTTTAATATTAAAACAATTTTTTGTTACTAACACTTACACAATAAACTTTGTATAACTACCACTTTTCAAGTAAACCCATTGAATAATTAAAAGAAATACATATATTTGGTTTCAACTGTTTATACATTTGATTATAACCAAACTCATTACATAAAACGACAAAACGTTTTTATGAAAAAACTTTTATTCGTGTGTCTTTTTGTTGTTGGATGAAAGGGTTATTAAACACAAACATTGTTGTATTGTTTGGTTAAATTTGTACTTTCTTGTTATTACAAACCAACAATTTAAAACATATTTTAAAAGTTTCAATCTGTTTCTATGCGATAAAAATTTTATCGCATCATATTGTTTTTGTTTTTTTAACAATTAACTTTATTATTATCCAAGATCATGTTTTTAAAAATAAAATCAATGATTTGTAAAAATTTAAAAAATGATTGGCCAATTTAAATTAAAATGATTATGTTTTTACTAATAATTAGTTTTATTTATAATAATAATTCCATATTTAGACTTTTAAATATTTTTAAAAACACAAATTAAAGTTTAGGTTTATCGAAGCGGGAAATTACATCATATTCACTCGATCATGCTGTTTCTGGAATACAGTTTCGGTGACAATACACACAACATTTTGCCTTAATATGAAAACAATTAAAATCGAATGGATGAACAGTTTAATAAACCGACAAAATCAAGTGTTATATTGTTTTTGAATTCTATTTTCAAATCTTGGCATAGCATTTTTTCTTAAACTAATAAATACAGTTAACGGAAAAAGTGGGATGCTGATTTAAATATTTATTAATTTAATATTATTAATAATAAATAATTAATATAAATTTATTTTGGTTTTTTCATTTTATTAATTTTTTGATTAATAATTTATATTAAAATTAATAGTAATTTTATTATTATTCAATTGAAATTAACCAATAGTTACGAGCATCCTCCTTTCTCTAGCATCCCCATATTTCCTCCTACTGTAAATCAAAAATAATCATTTTTTAATAATAAATAATAGTTTTTTACAAAATTACAATGATATATAGAAGTTTTTAACTATACTGCATAGATATTAATATTGTAAATTATAGTTTAAATTTTATTTTTAAAACTAATTTATGATTTCAATTTTTATTAGAGTGACTTTATTAACTTTATTTAAATAAATATATTTTTATAATAAAAATATTAAAATTTAGTAAAAACTATATTTTTATAAAAAAAAACAAAACAAATGTTTTTTTGTAATAGTTTCCCGAAATATTACACTTATTATAGTTAAAAAAAACAGACAACATTTCTGAACTAATAACTATATTAACTAAAATTATTTTATATGTTATTTAAAACATCACAATAAAAAAATAAAGGTGAATAACCATTTTTATTTGTATACACATTATTAATAGCTTTAAAACTAAAATTTAAACCACATTTAACTTTCAAATATTATAATTATTTTCTTAACTTTTATTTAATTAATTTTTATTGAATTATTTTTTACTTGTAAATCAATTATGAAAATATCATTTGGAAATTAAAATAGTGAACTAAACTATTAAGTAAAAACTCGAAATTAATAAATCATTATTTTCTATCATTTCAGTTTCTATATCTTTAAAAAATCCACAATATTTTTTTGATACAAAAAAAATCTTTGTTAATAGAATAAATGGTGTAATAGTAAAATAAAACTATCATATAATAACAATATAGATTTCTTAACTAAGTAACATTCAGTTACAAGAAATAGCTTAAAGTCCCGATAATATTCGATAAATAAAACTGATACAATTGGTTCAAGTTGATAAGTTCCAAAGTAATCTTCCACCACCATGTGGGTTGGATGAAATACAATTGAGTTCAAAGAACTCAAAAAATTCAAGAAAGCAAAAAAATGTCACGAGGCACAACTACAATAGGAAAAAGGACTTCCCCAAAACCAGAAGGAAGTGAAGCTCCAACAGCAGTCCCAAGAGCAGATAGTCCACTTGAACTTGATTCAAGGAAGTCATTTGGATCTACTGAAGAGTCCGCACAGCACATCGTTCAACTCGAAGAAACAGTCCATCTCCTCTCCGAGGAAAACGATAAGCTCCGGGCCCAAATCAGTCAAATGCCAACGACTCCACTGAACATGAAGAGAGAGTTTGACTACTTTTGTACACAAATGCCAATCCGTGGCTGCTCGTTCTTAACTGGACAAATCGATGTGAGAACAACATTCATTCAATCTGTCATCACTGTCTCGTTCCCAACACCTTTTCCAGAAGACCCCGTTGTATTTATTTTTCATCTATCAGTCACTGGGTCGAGTACTGAGATCAAACCAACTTCCGTTTGTTCTATATAGAATATAATAAAATTATATTAATAATATATTATTTAACCCCTGAATGTGTTTCATACAAAAGAGTCAAAGTAATGAATAGTCAACTTTAAGTTCATTCACTGTGGACTTCAAAAAGCAATCGTCTGTACCCATCACTGAACTCAGTTGCGTGTTTTGGATAGCTTATCTCCCAACAAAAGTGAAACCCAAATTTATGGAACTTTCAAACTTCTTGACTGGAACACAAACCCCATCGCCAAAACAGGCCGAGTCGCAAGTTGTTTCATACATTAAAAAACACGGTGTGAGAGATGAAGACAAAAATGGAGATACTCTCTTGCACATGCTTATTATTCTTGGGTACACTAACTTGGTTGAGATGGTGATTGCAAAAGGCGCTGATGTGAACGCACTTAATAAATTCAGATATTCACCACTTCACACTGCGTTGAGCCAACACGAAATCAACAACGATATTGTCACGTGTTTGTTGAATAACAAAGCCGATCGGTATATCAAAAACGAGACCATGAGAACACCACTCCACTATTTGTGTAGAAACCCTAAACTCGACGATAAAACTATTTCTCTCTTGTATGTGATGCTTGGCGACTCGAAAGACAAGCCCGAAAAGACTAAGGAATACATCAATGAAATTTCCAAATTGGGTGAAACTGCTTTGACATGTTTGTGTGCGTCTTCACTCAACGAAGAAGCAATCAAATTTTTGTGTGAGAATGGAGCTAACGTGAACCAAATGACTGAAAGCGGGACATTCCCATTGTACTACGCTGTCAAAGCGAAAAACACGAATGTGATGCAAACATTACTGCAGTATGGGGCTGATATTGATATGGCATTTAAAGGGAAACCAGTGATGAAAATAGCGGAAGAGAATGGACAGTTCAATGTGTTGTTCAATATGATTGAAGACAAATACTCTTTGAGACTTCTGAGCAACGAAGAGATCAATAACATGAGAATGAAGTTTGAGAATGATGTTCCACAGGAAATGGAAAGCTGGACTAACAATACAACACAATCGAAAACACTGTTGATTAACACAGCAACGCTCCCAGACTATCACATCGAAAACTTTTATACCTCGTGCACCCACAAACAAGAGATTTTCATGAATAAAAATTACCATGACCCGACTCTGCCAATTACTTTCTTCCAAACCTACATGTTAAAAGACCCCCATTCAAGTTATGGTCTTGAGGTTGTCGATGTTAACACTAATACCAGAGAAAAGATGGTTGTTACAATTAAGAACGATCCAGCAGACAGAAAAGTGATTGTTTGGACGAAGAGAACGAACCGCAGAATGATTGCGAGTAAAGTGAATGAAAAGACGAGTGACGCACAAATTCTGAAAAATCTTGGGTGCAAAAACGTCCCGAAACCCTTTGATAACAAAGTTATGGACCCGTTGCTGATCAAGTTTGAAAACTATTTTATTGCGACAAAGTACAAATTTGGAGTATTGTACGCTGCTGCGGGACAAACGACCGAAGATGAGTTCTTTATGAATAAAAATGGGAGTTCACACTTTGAACACTTCTTGGAACTATTGGGGACCAAAATTAAGTTGCAAGGGTTTACTGGATTCAGTGGAGGACTTGACACAAAGCAGAACTTAACTGGAGAATACGCTATTATGAACACATTTAGCAACAATAGCATCAATATCATATATCATGTGGCACCTTATTTGCCATATAGCGACTTCGAAAAACAACAATTGGATAAGAAGAAACATATTGGGAACGATATTGTGGTGTTGGTATTCAAGGAGTATCACGGGAAGGATCCAAAACAGGACACGATCGACTTCTCGACGTTCAAGACTCAATTCAACCACGTCTTCTTGGTTGTCGGATTCGATTTGGATCAATCAAATATCGATACACCAAAGTACTCTGTTAATTTGATGTGTAAACATGACATCAAACCAATTCCTCCATTCATTACAACAGACGAGTACTGCGGATCTCAGTCTTTCTCCACTTTCTTGACTGCAAAACGTTTGTTATTTGTATATCTATAAGATACTATAAATTATTACTATTATATCTATTTTCGAAAGAGACGAAGTACTCACTGTTTAGTGATCAACTCGGAGGTCGCAGCACAAGAATCGGCACAATTCAGGACAAAGAGAGTCATGATTAGAAACCAACTCCTTACGGACATGACCACAAACTCCGACGAGTAAACATGCAACAGAGTTGGGTAATTCATTATTGGCTTCTTTTAATAATTTATACTATATTTTAATTAATTTGAATATGGTTAAAGTATGGTTAAAGTATTAGTATGTAAAATACTATTTATAGTATCCAAAAATAGAGAAATTTTCACATGGAAAAAATGGTTTATGAATTATAAAAAAACTATATTATAAAAACCCCGATATAGAACCATATATAATAAAATAAACTAGAAAAAGTAACTACAAAAATACCAAAAAAACAGAAGAGAACTGTAAAAGAGGATGGAGAACGAGCTTGAGACAATCGAGAATTTGAAAGAGTTCAAACCCATTTTGCAGCAGAAAATATTGGACAAGGAACTGATGTTTATGGAGCAGGTGAGACAAAACAATGGAGCTTTTAAAGAACTTGACAGCAATTTGTCAATGTTAATTAAGTGTGTAGAATCATTGAAAGAGCGTGTCATCGACCTTTCAGAGAAACTGAATCAGTTTGTTATAATTGTCAATAAATTATTATCAATAAATAAGAAAGAATTGGCGAATTGAAAAGAAGTCATCAATAGAACATTCACGGGATTCCAAGCGTTGCACTCAGAAGCGAAAAAGATTAACACTGTTGTCGAACAAGACAAACACTCACATCTATTGATTTGTTCGTTGCTGACGAAATGCATTCCACCACCCGAACTGATCCAAAGACTGTTGACGAAACCGGTGGATGACAAGTACGCGCCAGATTTGGTTGCTTACCACTCGATATTACAAAATTTTGAGGAAGTGAAGGAGAAGTATAAGGACTCAAGTATAGTCAAATTGTGTATGGAGTATCACACACATACGACAAACTATATATGTCAAAGAATTTATGACGTGGTGGCTTCGAAGTTGAATCAACTCTCTCAATCAAACCCAATCATTCTTCAACACCATTTGGCTAATAACTACGCTATTCACTTCAGGTTTTTGATGAGATACGCAGAAGAACCGTGTAACTCCCTCAAACACAATCATATGGAAACTATGAAGGCGTTGTTCTATCAATATTTCACAACTTACACGGAAGAATTGATGAAACTGAGAACACAAAAGGCTTTGCCGAAGACATTTGAGTTCATCGAGTACATCCCAAAAGATAATGTTTTCAAAGCATGCAACGAAAAAGAAAAGGACTCCGCTGAGTCCTTTAGTCGTATTAAAACACGAATCGACGTGCAGCGCAATGTGTCGAACAAAGACGACGAAATCATCATTCCCATTGTCATTCAGACACAACAAAAAGAAACTCGGTATGAACTGGAGACCATCATCGACTCACTCTATCGAGTTCTTTTTGACACTGTCGCGAGTCATGTCGATTGCTACTCAAGAATATACCGAAAAATCATCGTCGATAAAGACTCCTTTTCACGGGAAATTAGTGCTATGGTGGAAGATGTGTTTGGGCCCATATTCCAGTACTTTATAACTACTATTATTGAGAAGAATATAGTATACCAGAACCTTGGTTTGTTTACAAACGATATTTATATAGTATTTTGTTATAATACTTTGGTACAGTGTCTGTGACCAACTGACCGCAAGACAGCTTCACGTATTTCATCTACTTGAGGGAATTTGTGAATTGCCAGAACTTCATTGACAAGAATTATGTCATCTTGAACGATGTAAACCCACTGAGAGATCACTTGAACAAAGTAACTCAGATGATTATAAGTAAGGTGTACTTCATCTTGAATAACACAATCATTTTTGTCCAGAGTGCGTCGGGACAGCCGAAGAACGAGAAGTCCCTCATCAGAGCAATTACGAGGAAATACGCACAATATGATTCATTGCTCCAATATGTACAAGTGATCCATTATTATTCGGACCTCGAAGAATTGTGCTGGAAATTCAGAACAACGGTGGAACAGTACATAATAAAGATGGCGACCTTTGATAACAAAGGTGTCGAGATCCCCAGCGAATTTACTGAAGTCTTAAACTTTGCATATATAGCTTGCTTTTTAAAACACCAAGACAACGAGTTCATTAGACTTAACAAAGGAGTCAAAGACTTGACACCGGAAGAAAGGAAGAGTATGAATGCAGATATCTTCTCAGTAGAACATAGTCTTGAAGTGAAAAGGGAGCACTTAAGTGGATTAATCAATGAGAAATTCTTCTTCTTCTTACTTGAGACGCTCAACCGAGTAAGAGACTTTGAGACAAATAAACAAAGTGGAAATGTCACAGAGAGTGATGTCTTACAATTTGTCGAACATTTGAGAGGGTTTATGGCGACTTTCAAGGAGAAGTGGATCGTCAAATTGAAAGAGATGATGGTATACACACAAGGCTTAGCTGATATCAAAGAAAAGGATATTGAATATTGGGAGGAAGTGCAAGTCGAAATTGGTGTTGAGTTCCAAAGAGGGATTTTGAAGTTCTTTTTGAACTTGTGTGAGGAATTCGACAAAAAGCTGAAGAGTGACTTGTTATCAACCGACATCAAACTTGAGTTGATGAAAGGGTGTACTACTTTTGCTGCGATCTACGCCGAGGTTGCAAAATATATGGAAGCCATCAAGCGCGGGATACCATTTTCTTCCTTAAATTAATTTACTTTTTTCACCGTTATTTTCTTCTTCATTTTTACTGTCACGTCATAAGAGAAATGACTAAGATATCAAGTGTTATATTACCTTTGCACCTATAAATAGAATACATAATAATAAATAAACTAATATAACTATATAATTATATAATATAATAAAAATGCTAATAAAATGAATTAGACAAGAAATAGTTGAATTTCCCCAAAAAACAAAAATCAAGAAACAAAGAAAAGAAAGAAGAAAGAAATATGAGATCTGGAAAACATACTATCATGAAGGTGGTATTTACACTACTACTTGTATACATTGCAGCGAGTCGAGTTGTTTTGGACCCAGTTACTATGGAGGCAAGACCATCACCGAAGTCTATCGATTCACTTTTAAAAATGATCAGCGACGATTTGAAGAACCAAAACTCGACGATTAAGAAGGAGTTTGATGCTGCGGAGATAGCGTATCAAGTGTCAAGCTCAAAGTACTCAACTCTTTTGCAATCGGCGGAAGATAAAGAAACAACTTTGAGACAAGATTTGATCAAATTTCAAAAGGAACTGAATATGTTGGAAGATAAGAGAAGCGCGTTGAAACAAATCCACGCGCCAACAACGGAAATCGACAAGAAAATAGGCGAAACTAAACAGACGATTCTTTCATTGAAAAAGTCGATCAAAATACAGGCAAAGCAAACAAAAAATTTGAAAGAGACGACAAGGAACGTCGAGAGAGACTTTGTACACGCACAACAGAGACAGACGGAACGCATACTTAAATTGAATAGTAAGCAAAAGAAGACAATGAAATTAAAGGAACTCACTGAAATGGCGAAAGTCAGAAATGCCGAGTTGCGTCTTTTTTCGGACGAGTTGATTGATGTGTTAGTGTGTGGGGACGACGACGAGAGAAAAGCGGTGTTTTTAATGAAAGCGACGACCGACAAGAATGCGAAGAAGATGATGAAAATAGTTCAAGAAGCACGAGACTTGATGGAGGAGATCACAACACCCGATCCAGAAGACTTTGAATGGAATAAACTCTCGGGACAAGTCAAACAAATTGAGAAGGAATTGCAAACGTCGATTAATCAGAAAGAAGCACAGGAGAATGAGATCAAAAGTGTCTCGAAAAGTGTTGAGGATATAACAGAGGAATGCAAGATATCGGCTGGAAGTATGAAGAAGAACTGCGAAGAACGATTGAACCAGAAAATAGAAGAGAGAAAATTAGCAAATAAGAAACTCAGAAATTTGAAGGGAGAAGTCATATTGAACCAAAATAGACTCGACGAACTGAAGAGTGTGGTCTCGGGACAAGTTGCAAAGAAGGCGATGGAGAAGAGTAAGACCGCGAGAACACAGTTGGGCATGTGGCTTGCGAAGTGCAAAAAACAATTGACAGATGCGATGAAACTTGAAGGCGATTTGAAGAAAGAGGAAGTAAATGGTTGTGGGAGATATCAAAGAGCAATCATTGCACGACACGAAATGGTCGAAGACAGAATTGCAGTGTTACAGTCGAGGAAACTTCGAGTGTATCGAAAGTATGTCAAAATCCTCAAAAGAGAGGAAACTGCTGTGAACAACCACATTAAGGAGTTAAGTCACATTGCGAAACTTTATGAGAAGAGTGCGCTCAAAATGGCGAAGTACGAAGCCAAAGGTGTTTTCAGTGGAAGTGAGAGAAGCGACTTGATGAAGCAAAAAGCGCATCAAAAGCGATTAGAAGCATCTGATTTGTCCGACCGAGTTGTTTCGATGTGGAGAGCAATGAGAAAACGCGAAGAGAAGGAAATCGAGGCGTTGGAAAACGACGTGAAAACGCGAAGAAAGATGATAAAAAAGCATGCCGATGGTGTAATGAGAATAACAAGCAACATCACCCTTCTTGTCATGAAAAATGAACTCCAAGAGATCCAGAAGGACATAGTGATGAAGACGGAAGTCATGACCACACTCTCTGAAATGGTCAAGAAGATGGCGCTGAAAGCTGTTGGGAAGAGTTCGATCATGAGACATGGTGCTATTAACAGACTCGTTGAAATCAAGAAGGCGAAAATAGAGTTGAAACAACAAGTGAGCCAGTTGATGCATAAAGCACTTTCTGGACCTGTGAAACAAGTCACTGCCGTGAAACGACTCATGAAAAAACTGGAAGGAAGAGCCGCTCGATTAGTTGGGGAAGAAATCATGATGAACCAAGGAGTCAAATTGTGTGAAGACAGAGAGAGTGCTTCAAAGAGGCGAGACGAGGTTGATCGAGTCATTTATGAGACGTCCAAAATAGTGAAGAACGGGATACAGATCATCAACGAGATGAGAACTAAGGAAGGGATGTACAGAGAGACAATGAGTGATGCCAAACGGTTGATGAGCAAATTAGAAATAGTTGAAGAAGGTGACCGAGAGGTGTTGTCTGCAGTCATTCACAAATTACAGAAGCGAGGAAACAAGTTAGCAAGAAGACTGAAAGCAATCGAAGAAGTCCGAAGAGTCATCTCGGGACAGTTAGTGGAGAAGAAATATAAATTGGACAAACTTGTTGAGAAACGAACGAACCAGTATAAGGTGGATCACTTGAAACTCGAAGAAGCCATTGATAAGTTGAAACAAAAGGAGGACGTCATTGTGTGTAAGGGAAGTCGTAAGTTATTTGAAAAGTCGATCAGCTCGGTGAAGAGTCGAATGAATGTTGTCGAAGACGAGTTCAGCGACATGAAAGAAAGTGTGAAAAAGATATTGGGAGAGATCAATAATGCTCACGGAAAGTGTTATAATGGAATTGTCGAAGGTATCGAGGGCGACCAACAGAAGTGTAAAGTTTGTGTGAAGTTGGGCGAGTTCATCCTCAGAAAAGCACGGAACGGGTCGACAAAGAGACAAATAGCTAGAATGCTCCTTGCACGATGCCAAGCTTCTCAGAAACAACACACGTGCTATTCCGCCGCTCTAGGGCTGATGGCAAACTTCGACAAGAAAAAGTTGAATATCACGCCCCTCGAGTTTTGTGTTAAAGCTAATAAATGTGTCGTCAGGGATTGGTAACTTCTTTTGTTCCATTTTGTGTTCTTTTCATTTCGAGTAACTTTTATAATTTTATTATTATTCATAATAGTACATCAGTTAAATAGCATTTTAGTAGAAGGTAATAATTAAAGATTAATAAATATTTATCTTGTACATTTATATAAATTTAATTAATATAAATAGTTAACTATATCTACTAGTTAATTAAATGTATACTTATAGTTAATTAATTAGTTGTAACATCTATTCTATCAGTCAATCTTCAAATCCAACTTGATCCCCAAGTAATTGAAGAACTAGCAATCGGTCACATGTAACTTTTTCAGTCAGCGGTTTATCCACAAAAGGATTGAGGAACAATTTTTCAGTCAGATATTTGTCTTTCCACATAGCATGAAACGCAAGCTTCCCGTCACTCTTCAGCCAAAAAGCGGAGAACATAGTGAACACGAAATTTTTTTCTGTGTCAGGGTAGATTGTTATGGTCTTCAATTGGTTTTCAACTCTGTCCATCACGATTGGCTCTCTATTGCCTTCCTTGAACGAAAACAAAAAGGAATCAGTACTCTCATTCACTAGGGGACTTCCAAATTCACTTTTATGCAAAGGCTCGTCTTGGTACATCCCAAACTGTGAATCTTTTGTGATGGCAATTATAACGATATTCTGTTGTCCTATTACCTTTGCGTTGAATGACCGAGCATCGAGTTCGTCCAAACGACTGTCGTAGATTATAGAAAAGTCATTGAAACCAGTTTCAGAGACAAAGAACGCTGCCTTATCTTCAAATGTGAATTTTTGTCCTGGTGTTGAAGGGGTCGACCGTGCTGACTTTGTTTTTGGAGATCTTGGGGATGTCAACGAACTCTTTATTTTCTCGAATCCAAGTGACAGTTTTGGTATTTTAAATTTTGAGGGCTTCTTTTCATACCTTTGGTTTGTTGGGGTGAGTGACGACGTTTTTGTTGTGAAGGTGATATCATTTGGAGTCAGAGATTTGCCGACTTTTGCTTGAGAACTTGAAGGACGCTCTTTTTTCTCTTTGCGATCTGAACGAGGACTTGTCAATGGAGAAAAGTTGCGTGTTTTGTCGGATTCAGTGATGTCATCTGAAAATCGATTTATTGGACTTTTACAACCCGATTCTTGATTTGTCAATGATATTTCTAAATCATCATCTTGTGAATTGGTTGGTGGAAATTTCTCTCTTGTATGTCCTTTGATCCGATTCTTTGGAATAAATTCGTGTGGATTAAAGACACTACCCGAACGGCTGGAGTTCTTGGAGTACTTCACCATCTGTTTGTTGCCCATTGAACTGGTTTGGAGTTCAGAAGTTACACTGAATCAAAATTTGACTAAATACCATCGAATTAACCAACGAAGACTTCGATCGCGTCAATAAAATAAAACGCTGTACTAATTTTGGCAGTTGGTTTAATACCCCATTATTCATATTCTTATTGACTTCATTTGGAAAGTTTTTGTTGAATATTTGTATTTAATGTTTTCATGGCATTTGAATCTTATGTTCACCTTTTTAAAAAATGAAGTTCATAAAGAAACCAAAGAATGATTGTATTTTCAATTGTTTGTGCCAAATGATACAAATTGTTAATGTGTTCAATGTTTCCTTGTTTGCCACTTTTTTGGGAAATAAGACGTAATTATTAAACAAGAAAACAAATTGTTGAAACACTAAATTGTAAATAATTTCAAATTTAAAAAATAATCAAATTTTTTTTACATCTCTTTGTTCAATTTTTTTTAATGTTTTTGCACAAAATTAAATTTTAATACAATTCTGTAAAAATGGTTTCTTCTTTTAAATATATTCAAAAGTTTTTAAATTGAAAAATTAATAAGTTGAAACAATAGTTTTACAATTTATGTTTATTTATCCCAAAAAATACATAATTATCGTTCAAAATAACAGGAAATACCCTATAATTATAATTTACTATTATAAAATTATCTGACAATTTTGGTGTTTAAAAAGTTAGAGGATGAAATTGTCAACAAAATTGTTATCCAAAAATACTTTCAGTTTAATGATATTGTTTTTCAAATTATTGAGTAAATTGTGTTTTATTTTACAATTAATTATAAAAATAATGATTGATTGTTATTATTTATTTTACAAATAAAAATTGTACTATATTTTTTAGATTATTATTATAATTATTAATAGTTAACTATTTGTACTAAATTGTATAAGTTAGACAAATATTATGGTTAGATTCGAACATTTCAATAAACTTTAAGTTTTATTTTTTTAGGTACAATGTCTTTGTTGTTTTTTTTATTTATATTGGTTATTTGATATATGAGCTTATTTTTTTAATTGTATTTGTTTGAATTGTAAGTTTGTAAAAAAGACTTTATTATGTAAAATAACCAAATAAAGACACAACTTGTTATATCAAATTTCAAAGAGACTCTTGTTCACGGTCATTTAATTGTGTAACATAATGTTCATTCAAATAAAGACCATTATAACTATTTTTTATACTTTTTTGTAAAAATATTTTTTTCAATATCGTCTAGTTTCATAATAAGTGTAAATTATTTTATTTACAAAAATTATCACCTTTAAAACTAAAATTGTATAATTTATTCAAGTATTAGTATAAAACCACAGTTTCGTGATTTAATTTGACTTTTATATAAAGTCAGTCTGCAAACCTTATTAATTAAATATGATTGGTTGATTTTTTTTCTTTTTTAACAAAAACAAAAAAATAATAAATTTGATTATCAACAATTCAACCCAAAAACAAAGAAATGATGCTTTTTTACATCAACAAATTAAACGATTCATTTGGTATTCGACGTAAACAGGCAAATGATTTCGATATGTTAAATAACATGTAAATGAACACGTATTAACCTTAGAACGCTGATTCAAATCCACTTATTTTCTATCCCCTCCCTTTGGGACCAACTAAAAAATACTATTTATTATTTCTTTTTAAACAAAAAAAATAAAATCAACAAATAATCAAAACCATACTTATTTTTTTTACAATTGATACATATTGCGTGGAAGTGTCCATAACAACACCAAACATTAAATCCTTTATGGGAGCAAGTAATGCATCTGAATTCAGTTATTTTTACATAAACAAAAGTGTCCAAACAATCAGTTTCATTGTTTAAATGGGTGTTTTTTTAATTACCATTCTGAGTGTTCAAAGAATAGTTCTTTATTGAAGTCGGAATCCTTTCTTGAACTTATCAATTTGGGTTAGTTAGTTTGGTTAAAATTAATTTTTTGTTAAAAATTATTATATTATAATATTGATAAAATATAATTAACATTAAATAGTTAATTTTTATGTTAATTATGTTTAATCAATATCTGTTTTTTTATAATTAAAAAAAGTGGATTATAATTCAAATCCTATAATTTTTATTATTTTTTCCAGTTCCTTCTTCCTAAGGTTAAATAATGAACAAAATGGTCGTTACTGAAAATATAAAACAACGAAAATCAAAAAAAGGAAGAGGTGTTGTGAACTTTGAAGATAGAGTGATGTTGTTATAAACAGCCAGTTTATCAAGTCATTGATGTTCAATAAGACTTCTAAACTTTCCTCTTGGTTTGTTAGCAATATTTTCCCGTTATTTTGTTCAATTATATTACCAAATCAACTGTATTTATTCACTTTTAGATGTTTGAAAATAATTGGTCAAATTTTCTAAACCTTATTTATGTTATTGGTTGTGTTATTGGTTATTTAGTTTTGGAATAATTATATATAATAACCTTTTTGAAGACTTATCTTTTCCCGTCTATAAGGAACATTTTTATCAAAAATTGACCTAAAAAATAAATAAGGTTAATAAAGTGACTTTAGTTTTTTTATAAAGTACTTAAAATTTATTATTTAAAATATAAATATAAATTTTATAGTTTATTTTTTTAATATTTTAATCAAATTATTAATTGTGATTAATTTTTTATTATAGTCGGGGGATAAATAGCATTAAAAAGGGACAAAGGTAGTTAATTTTGATAAATATAATTTTGAAACTATAATTTTTAAAAAATCTATTTAAAGGTCAAAATAAACATAAAATTAAAATATTAATTTAAATTATAGTTTTTTATTTTAAATGATTATAAATTGAATAATTATAAATTTCTATTTCAAAAATAAACAAAAACACCTCAATTTGTTCACTTAGAGAAATGTGGAAGTCTAAAACGCAGCACTTTTTGTGGTTTGTCTGAAACTTGTTTTGTTAAAGGATTTTCCTTTGTTTTTTCCTTTGTTTCATTTCTTTTCTGCTCTTCTTCAACTCCAATTGTTTTGGTGTTAAAATGGTCTTTCTCTTTTCCTTTCTCAATGGGAATGGTTCAACAACGAAAGATTAAAAGATTTCAACAAATGATGGATTTTCAGTGATTCTGTGACACTTTAAAAGATTGACATTGTAGTTAATTCATTAAACTCTGGCATTTTAACCATATACATCATGAATATATATTGAAATACAGTTTTTAAACTGGTTTCTTGTATTTAAATTGCTTTTTTTGTGTTGATTGCCTGTGGTTGTTTCATCGAGGGTTCCTTACTCTTCTTCTTCCATTGTTTTCAAAGATTGAATAATATCAAAAATAAAAAGTTATGGTTTTCTTTTATTATCTTCAAAGTAGTTAATTGAAAAAACCCTTCTAATACTTTTATGGTTAAAGAAATTATATTTTATAGTTTTTTACTCAAATTAACTACTTCTGTCCCAAATTAACCCCCTTTATCACCCGACTATATAACCAAATATTAAAAATTTTACCAGTGTTATTTTATTATTCAAAATAATAATGTTCCAATATCTACATTAATTAACAATATAAAAATAGTGTTGCAACTCAATGAATTATTTAGTTTAAAAAACCCTTATATTTTGTTTAAATTTGTAAGCATTATTCTAATGTTTTAAAAAGTGTTTCGAATGACTTTTTGTTTTATAGCAAAATAAAGGTGATTGAAAATGAAGTTTATAGCTCGAATAAATAGATACATGTGTCATCTCTTCGAAACGTCAATAAAGAACAAGAATTTTTTGACCATGTCTTTCTTATAAAACAAACATTAACAAATAAATGCAATAAATTAATACATACATACATCCAAATCATTTGATTTTATTAACACAAACATTCCACTAATGGTGGTGTTGGAGACCTCTCGATAAAGTCGGAATCTTCAGGTTCTGTGCAAAGCATTTTCATAACTTCAGAGTCGAAGTAAAGATCTTTATCATACCTTTCAAATATCTCTTCAAAATACTCTTGCAAATTTTTGTCTCTGATTCTTCGATTGACCACAATTCGCGACGTGAGTCGTTGACATGAGACAATTTTTTGGGTTGTCTTCTTATAGTAGCTCATATGAATTATACGAGTTGAATAGGTTTATATAACACACAATCATGCTTTACATTATAACATCCTTTTTATAACATCATAAAAATTGGTGTGAAATTTTAAGGAATTCAATTTTAATATTTTACTATAATTTAAATTTATTATACTATTATTTTTGATAAGATGGAATTCTTGGGAACATCTGCCTAATCCAGTTTTAATCAAAGGCAGAAAACAGTCTCAAATAACTTCTTTACTGGTTTGTTGTTTTTTTAATCGCAAAAAAAACGCCAAACAAAATGTCTTCTGTCAACTCATGGAAGTTTTCTGATATTCGCGATCTTGGTATAAACTATATAATTGTGCGTCATTCCCCTGTTCATTAACAAGATAATTTATTCTTCACTTTTTTCATGTATTGTAAGCAAGCTCACAAGAAAACAATTTCCATATTATTTCTGCGTTTTAAAGACAAAAATGTTCTCTAAATATAAAAATAACAAAATGGTATTTGATAATTAGGGTTGTTATAAAGAAAAGTCACTCATAGAACAAACCACAATTCATGTCGTTTTGCGGGTATTTTAAGCTAATCTGTTATCCAATCTATTTTTGTGTTTTTGTTTTATTTTTGGAAAGAAAACGGCATTCTCAAATAAAGAAACCGGACTTTTACAGAAAATTAACTATTGTAAAGAATATTATAAATATAAATAAACGAATTAACAATTTTAAATAAATGCTGTATTTATTTGAACCAGTTTTTTACTATTTTTGTAAAAATTTAATAACATTTTTTTTTAAATTAGAAAAATTCAATAGGTATAGTTTAAATTTTTAATAAAAAAACAAACGAAGCTCAAGTTCACGATCAAATAAAAAGAATAAAATGAGAAAACAAAAACTGGTTTAAATATTCGAAAATAAAAATTAATTCACTTGTTTTTATTATAAAAGTTTGTCTAAAAACATAAATTGTTATTGTTTTTATGTTACTCAAATCTTCTTTATTTTGTTTTTTGAACTATAATTTACTTACAAAAATAATTATTTGACATTTTTGAGACTACAAAAAAAAACATTATAAATAATTCAGTTAAATTTTTTTCAAAAATAAATTTAACTGTTTTAATCATTAAAGTTTGATGTTCTTATGTTTGTATTTCCCAAACATTAATCAATTATTTTTGGTAATATAAACCACAAATTAGGTTAATTCAGTTCAATGAAAAAAATAAAAATAAAATGTTATTTAAATTAAAATATATAATTTAAATACTATAATAATTTAATAATTTACCAAAACAAAAAAATTACATTAAATATAAAAATAAATTATAAAGTTACAATAAAAATAATTATACAAAGTAGTAAATAAGCTTTAGCGAAAGTTCACTTTTACTATGATAATTCCAAATTTTTATGTCCAGTTGTGAACATGCTAAAAATCACATTTCTAGTATTTAAAAAACAAGGAGACTGCTCTTGCTTTTTAACACAACTCAACAATACAAAGTCTTTCGACTTCTATTTTCTCGTTCAAACTTCTTTCTCCAAATGGATTAAACAGTTTATCTGGGAAGTTATAGTATTCTCGAATCATAGAATGGAATGATGCCTTTCCGTCTTGGGACAACCAAAATGCAGAGAACATCATCACGATGAACGACTTTTCTTCTTTACCATATAAGGTGATACTTTTGTTCTCAGGCTTTGTCCTTCTCATTATTGAAGGTTCGATTTTGTCACGTTTGAAGGAGAATAAAAAGACTTCTTCACTCTCATTCACCACCTTCTTTGTTTTCTCCGAATGGAGAAGCTCTCTGTTGAATACCCCAAAGAGTCCACCTTTCCAAAATAGGGCAAAGACAACAGAACATTTACCATCGCAACACGTACTGACTGTTCGTGGATCCAAATCCATCACATTAGAGTCATAAAGGATTTTGTACTCTTTGAGTCCAGTCTCAATAACGAAATAATACGCTTTGTCTAAGTTCTGAACTATTTTATTCTTTTTCCCACGCGGACTGATCCCTTGTGAATTGCCACGTGGGGATATCAAGTTTTGATTGTCACTTTCAATGTCTTCGTTGTCACTATCTTTGTCCTTTTTGTGCTTGAACGAAACACCAAAACTCCAATGTTTCTTTCTGCTCTCTCTTGGAGTCTTCTTTTCTGAAGACTGGTGTGTTGGAGAGAGGGGGCCATCAGCTACAGAGAATTTAATGTGTGGTGTATTTTGAAGAGCAGACCTTTCAGTGTTTTGTCTAAGGTCTGGTTCTGACTCGTTGGCATTAGTGTTTACTATCTTAAGGTTCAATTTAAAGCCCATTTTCCGTTTTTTGGTCGGTTTTTGTAAGTCGATCTTTTTCTCAGGTGTTCCACTTGACTTTATAGAACTGATTTGGAAATCAGAGCTGCGTACATCAACAAAAGGAAATGGATTGTAATAGTCTGGAGAGGGATCTCCTCTTGAGATAGAACCGCTGCGAGAAGAAGGCAATGAATACTCTGGGCCCATTGAATGTCTTTAGTTGATTCTTTATTTATAAGAGTGAATTGTTTTTATGAAACAAACTTCGAAAATAAAATGGCATAGTGCCACTATCATGTGAAAAAAGAATTGGACTTACCATCGTATTTTTGTGTTGTAAAGGAATACTATTTATTAAGAAATCATTATGAAAAAATCGGGTAATATACGGAAATCATATTAAGTTGATAAACTTTTGGCAAAATGTTACTGTGGTCCAATTTCAGTTTACTAAAATATTTTTGGTGTCGCAAAAAACTTCTCTTCGTCATAAATATTCAAAAATATCAAATTTATTATCACTTAATTATATTTTTGTCATTGAATGTAGTATTCACAAAATCTATTTTTTTATATAATTAAAAAGTTATTTAAATATTTGAAAATACATTCATAAAAATTTCAAATATCTTTGGATTTGTTATTCATTTATTATTTTAAATGAATAATAAATATAAATATATCTTTTATATATATAATTATTATATTATATTATATTATATTATATTATATTATATTATATTATATTATATTATATTATATTATATTATATTATATTATATTATATTATATTATATTATATTATATTATATCATTATTTATAAATATACATATAGTATAAGATTATAATATATATATATATATATTAACAATAATTATAATTATTGTCATTTAGTGTCAAAAGTCCCTAATTTAGAAATACATTCAAATAAATAACTATAATATAAAGTATTATTCAAAAATATCTATTCATCTTTATACTCTAAAAATATTTTTTTAATTAATTGTAAATAATTAATATGATAACTAAACTTTGTAATTATAATAATATAATAATTGTAAGGTCTCATCTAAAAACACCATTCAGCTATTTATCAAATTGATGCAATCGACAAGACAGAACACAACAAACCTTAAGATCATTGAATTTCTTATCAAACGGATCAAACAACTTGAGCTTAAACAAGAAGCTTTTACGAAGAACACACTTGAGTGTTTGATAGAAGAGAATTTTGGTGAACCTGTGCAATTGACTGCACAAGACTTGGATGTTCTTGGATTTGTCGAACAAAAGATCCTCTTTACCAAAAAAGACGGATTTACCCCGCAACAACTCGTCCAAGAGCGGTCTCGCCTGAATGAGCAACTCAGAAAAGTGCCCAAGGAGCTTCATTTTTTCATTGAAGAGTTGGGCATCCAAATCAATTCAGAGTTGAACAAAATACGCATTTTGAAAAGCAAAGACCCAAATAAACAATTCAAGACTTTGGGACCATCACTTAAACTTTCTGATTGCATTGTCTGCTATAATCAGAACAAGACCTTACCCATATTCATCAAAAATCCCGAGTCTATCAGTGATAACCCAGCAAGCAAAAAGGTCTTTCCTAGAAAATCAAACACAACTTTCCAGGAGTACTTCACCAGTAAGGATTTCCAAAATTGGATGACAAAAGTAGTTCGACCGTACATTGACACTGTTAAGAAGAGTTATAACTTACAAAATAAAAAGGCTATAATTGTCATGCCGCAGGAGCTTTCAAGCAATTTAGACGGTCTCGACTTCACTCCGGATTTTTTTTGTTTTTTGAAATATGGAACTTCGAAACAACTTAATATGGCTACGATGAAAATTTTCGAAGCAAAAGAGCGACTGCTTAACGATTTTAATTCCGTTGAATTGAGCAGAGATGATCAAAAATTGGCGCGGGATTTGAAAAACAAACATGCTTTACTTTTCGAATATATTAATATGAATAATGTAGTGGATAATACGTATGGAGAAGAGAATTTGTGGAAGAGTTTTATAGATGAATTAAATAAAAACTCTGAAGAGAATAAGACACTAATGACACCTCTGACGTTGAATACATTTTTAAAGCGAAATGGAGAGAATAGAAGCTTGAAAGAAATCAACCAAATGTTTGTCGACAACGACTGCAAGGAAACCCCCGTCAAGTTGATGGGAGAACGCATCGTAATTCAAGACAGCGAGATCGAAAAACTCTGTCAAGCATTCAAAAATTACAAAGGAACACCACCAAGCAACATTTTCATTTTTGATATCTTCGACTATCGTATGAAAGCGTGTGGGGAACATGACGGATATGTGAGAAAGGAGAGTGAAAACGTCAACTATATCGTAAGGCGAGAGAGCATCGCTTCAAATATCGCGATTTGTGTCAATGGAAGCGGCAACACAATTAATTTGATGGTAAAAACGACGGCAAAAGAGTTTGCTGCCCTTAAAAAGAAGTTTGCGACTAATACAAACGTGTTTATTAAAGCGGGAGATAACAACTGGATTGAAGACTGTGATGTCGGACATTGGTTCACAAACGTGTTCTACAAAACAATAGAAGAACAACGGAATAAGAAGATAATCACAGGGAAGGTACTATTGATCATCCCCGAGTTCTTCCAAACAGAGATGAAGAAACACACCAAAACTATGAGTTTGTTAAATAGAGATATCCAGTTTGTCCCGATAAAAGACTCTCTCTTTGGAATTACACCACTTGGTCGTCTTGAAACGGATGTAATGAGTGAAATAGTGTTGGAAAATTATAACTTAATATGTGAAGAAAGCCCATTACAACAAAACGAGTGGATCTATCAAATATGCACCATTTTACTTGAGTATTTGTGCCGCGACTATCGAATCATCAACGCGTTCTTCGATTCGTGTTTTGACGACCGGTTAGTTAATATGGATGTTAAAAATCTCTCTTTAGAAGCACAATGGGTCGTTGATTTATACGAAGAAATTATATATGTGAAATTGCCTCAAAACGCATCACTTGAAAATCCACCACTTCAGACTTTTGTGGTTCAAAAAATCAATCCAATGTTTCAAAAAGCTATGAGGACTTTCATTTGTAGTGATTATTTCGGTCAAGCCCGTTCTTTAGATGAGCAAAACATTATGTTCAAAAATAAGTTTCCGTGGGTTACAGAGGACATCTCAGTACTAAATTATATCAAAAAAGAGGACGTGTCTGAAAAGCATTCCCTTGATGATTGAATGGTTTTTATATCATTTTTATATTATAGAATCATATATTATTTGAATAATTAATTGATATGTTGTTCATTACTATATTTATTTAAAAATATATTATTATTATAATAATAGATTATTATCTTAATTGGTAATGAACAATAAACGTAAAAATACAATACAATACAACAATTTGTTACATATCCCGATATGTTTCATTGTTTTCATTAAAATAATTACAAAACTCGATGAAGTTTTGTGTGATTTTTATTATTTTTGTCACAAAAAGCTTTATATAATTAAATTTGTTAATAGTTATTCATAAAATAAACAATACTATTGCTAATAGTATGGGAAAATACTTTTTTTTTCTTTTTGAAATTATTTGAAAACTACAAATTAAAGCTTTAATAGATCATTCAATATCGTTAGTACTATTTTCTTTAAATTGTTCTCATTTCAGGTTTACTGTTAAATGTATTAATATTAAACTATACTGTCTTTATAAAATATTGTACATAATTATAGTTTAGTAACAATGGTAATATGCAAGCTGGTTTTGTCGCGTATCATCATCAATTGATTCCAAATCAATAAATAAAGAAATGTTATTGTTTTTTGTTATTGTTTTTAGTCAAACCAATTAAATATATTTATTATTTATTTATAATAATTAAACAATTACATATTTTTTTTTCTGATAGTTAGTAAAATAAAAATTGCATAAATTAGCAAAATTGATATTTTTTTTGTTCAGACCAAATCTTGTATTATAATTTATAATAAAAATATGAGTTTTATTGATTTAGAAGAAAAAACATAATAAAATCATATCCAAAATGCATTCAATTAATTTCCTTTGTAATAATTTGTTTAATTTGTCATAATTTCTATCTAAATTTTTGTTGAGGTGTATTATAATTAGTTATGAATCAAAAAAAGCTATTTATAATTCAGTGTTGTCCAAAAATACGGGAGACGATTTATAAGATTTGGCGGCGAAGATAAAAATCAAATACATATGGACGGGATGTTCGATGTTTCAAACCAAGTTGGGAATGTCCGCAAATTTCCGGTATATGACCCAACGGACTCGACACCGATTCTCGAAGGTGACGAGCCGTACCACCTGAAATTATGTTTTTGCCCGTTGTGTCAAAACGGGATGACTGTGTTAGCAAAAGAGCGAACAAGGAATGTGATATCGTGGCAATACATTTGCAAAGTCATTTTTTACTGCTTGTCATACATTCACAAAGATAACATCTTTTTCTCTTTAAAATATGACGCACATTGGTTTGTCACAGACCATTGGTACCTTTTCTCGCAACTTCCACAATGTTTGTTATACGTTGTTGTATTGTTTCAAATTGAAAATTAATTTCTAGTCAGAACAAACCCAAACAAATGGAAGAAAAGTATATTGGACGCTATGATCCATTGCAACTCATTTGAGTCCGGAAAATCATCAATGAATAAGACTGGGGTTTGGAAATTGAAAATCTTCGACGCACCATGGGAAAACAAAGACAATAGTTGTGCTGAAGAATTCGAAAAGATGTCGATGGACACGTCTTACCAAGTCGATACCAACTCAAACTCACTCCCATCACTCTCCGCATTGTTCAAAACACAAACCTCCGAATTGAAAATAGAAAACGTCTCCCTCCCTTATTTGTTACCCAACGACTCGATACCATCCAAACCAACACTCCAGGATTTCAACAGTTTCCTGCAGAGTCTCGACTGATTTATTGTTTGTAGTGTGAATCTTTTTCATTTACTTCCTTGAAGAAGTTTTTAATATGTTTAGTATATTCTTATTATACTTATAATAATAATCATTAATTCTATCAATCGATTTAATACATTTGAATACCATATTATGTTGTGTTGAATTGTTATATAAATTAAAAGCACTTGTAATCAGTTAGAACGTTTAGATCTTCTTCCCCCAAGTGGTTTCGTCGTACCAGACGCATGGATCAGTGTCATATGGCTTCTCTTGCTCACCTTTGCACCAGGTACCCTTTGAACATGGTCTGAATCCAGTGTAAAACTCGGAGCACTGGAAGTACTGATCGTTGTGTTTCCCATCGATCACACAGAAGAGACCATCTTCCTTGCATTTCAGCTCATTTTCTTCAGAGACGACCGGCTTCTCAACACTCTTTGCCTTTGAACTCTCAGTTGTTTTCTCTACACATGGATCAACCTTGATGTCAAACTTGCCCTTTCCTTTGCAAATTGTGCCTGGTGGGCATTTTGAGAATCCTTTATACGCATCGGTGCAGATGTAGTACTCGTTGTCGTGCTTCCCATCCAACACGCAGTAGAGTCCTTCTTCTGTGCATGTTGGGATGTCTTCATTCTTGTCGACTGACGGGGTTCCCACAGATTTTTCAGTGCTCTTTTGTGGATTTTCAATTGAGTTGTCGTTCAGCAAGACACAAGGGCTTAATGTGTATGGTTTTGTTGATGCGCCAGCACACTTAGTGCCGGTTGGGCATTTCATGAATCCCTTATAGGAGTCTGCGCAGACGTAGTACTGGAAGTCGTGTTTTCCATCTTCGACGCAGTAGAACCCATTCTCCTTGCAGTCTGGAATTTCACCCTTATCGGTGCTTTTTATTTCGCTCTTCTCTTTTGACTTCTCAATCAACTCCTCATCAAGGATGCATGGGTTGACTGTGTATGGGTAGTGTCCCTTAGCACCACACTTTGTTCCAGCTGGGCATTTTGAGTATCCATTATATGTTGGTGAGCAGATGTAATACTCTTTTGTGTGCTTCTCATCGCCGGTGCAATAAAACCCATCCTCTTTACATATCTCCTTCTCTTCACTCTTGTCAACCGGAGGTGTCACTGGGACTTTCGACGTCTCTTTGCTCTTTTCCTCGCTTTTTGTAGTTTCTTCTTTGTAACCACATGGGTTATACCCAAAGTCTACACGTTCTTTGGCAATGCACTCAGTCCCCGGCGCACACGGTCTGAGTCCTTGGAAAGTATTTGAGCACTCAAAGTACTGTTTTGAGTATTTGGTGTCGTTTATACAATACAACCCATCAATTGTACAGTCGAAAGTACATCCGTTGTCAGTCACAACCTTCGCAGCTGCTATACCGAACAATATAAAAGATAACATTTGATACTCACAGTGCTTATTCGACGCTTTTATAGAGGTTCCATGATCTCCGACACCGAAAATGGGATCTCTTTGTTTTGTTGAGGAAGATCAGATTTCTTTGACAAATCGGTTTTGTTGTTCTTGTGACAAATTCTATTTTGTTAATTAATTATTATATTATTGTTATAGTTTACAATTCCAAAAAAATCTCAATTAAATTAATTTTATAATAGCCAAAACAATATTTAATAGTAAATTAATTAGGGTTGAAATATAATACATATTAATAAAAACCAACTAACCAATAAGTAAATTTATAGTAATAAAATATAAATAATTGTTAGTAACAAATAGAAGTTAAATTAATAAGTAATAAGTACTTTTTATTATATTAAATTAGTGTTGAATATAAATGTTATGAGAAGTGTTATTCCATAAATAAGAGACAATAATAAGTAATAAACTACAAACAAGTAGTAGAAATATTGTAACTATTTTCAAGACAAGAATTGGGAAACCGACTATGAACTGTAAAAGATTAACGATCAACTTGAAAATGAACTCCATTTAGAATGAAAAAAAGAGTATATAAACGTTTGCAACTACAAAAATACAGTAAGCGCAATGGCCTTCGATATGTCTGATCCAGAATTAGCACAATCAATTGCTGAAGTGATTGACGATAAGAACGAAGAAGTCGAGTATGTCGTCTTCAACGTCTCAACTGCTCCAAACAAAGTCAACTTCCAAATCAAAGGAAAGGGAGGACTCAATGAAGTTAAGGCTGCCCTTAAGGACGAAGAACTCCAATTCGCTTATTACAGAACCATCTCTGGTGATGAAGAATCCAAGAGAGTTAAATTTGTCTTTGTTTCATGGGCTGGTGAAGGAATCAAAAAACCAAAGTTGAGAGCTGCTATGAGCATTTTGAAGGGTGAGGTCAAGGATACCTTGTTCAAGAACTTCCACATCGAGATCCACGCCACTTGCCAAGATGACCTTAAGGAGGAGGAAATTGCTGCTAAGCTCAAAAAGGCTGGAGGAGCTGATTATTCCACCAACTCTGGCTCATCATAAATTCTAAGCAATTCGATTTTTCTCATTTTATTGGTTATGTTTGATTTCTTTTCTACTTATTATTACATCGATATTTTTTTGTTTATTATTTTTTATATCAGTTACTCATTTAAAATATAAAAATTATTGTTCCTATCTTTTTCCTAAAATAAATAGTTGGACTTTAAGTCCAAACTAATTTTATAGCAGCTTTTGGTAATGTTTGAAACTCTGTTTTAAAGATTAAGTGTCATAACACATAATTTTGAAATGATATGTATGTACTTTATAGTGTTTAAAACAAACACTCAGTTTTTTTAACACAACAATAAATGTATTTTTAAAAAAACCACCCAGTTATTTATTGTCAGCCATTTAATTAATTTTATCAAAAAGTGACTCCACTTTTTATGACGAAAAATATCTTTAATCAAAAAAGTATTTTTAATTTGTATTATTTATTTAAAAAAACACAGTTATGATTTTATTATTAATTTTAATGTTATTTTTTCATTGTTTATAGTGTCTTATTGCACCTCAAAATTACAAAAACAACCCAACATACATCAATTACTAAAAGTTCAATTTCTTTTTAAGTTGAGGTTCTTCAAAACCTCTGACCTGCGATAGCCTTTCCGTGTTGATCGATTTCAACAAATTTTTAGCTTCAGTGCATTTTTCTATTTCCTCACATGTCACACTCTTTTTCCCTTTGATGTTCTCCAAATCTCTTTTCCTTTCTTCCTCGCTTTTTCTCGACGAGAGAAGTACGTTGTCCAACACTGGGATTTGCCTTGAAAGCTCTTCTTTCACCTCTCCAATCATTGGTTGCAAAAAGTACGCATTCAATTTGCTTCTTGTGTTCCTCCAAAAGCTTTCTCTAATGACACCAAACACCTTCTGACATATTTTGCAGATGGCGGGGTGTGACTCAGCTCCGCCTATGTTTCTCAGTTCCTGTAGTATTTTAAGTTCGTTCTGCCCGCGTACTTCCATTATACTTTGCACTTTTTGTTTGATCCTTGTCTTCTTTTCTTCGTCGGTCTCGTCCGCTTTTATTTCTTCCACGTCTTCTGTTTGTGTGTACATCCCATTAGACAACATGTTCCAGTCAACAACAGCAACAAATGAGTTTAAGTCCTCTTTCAGCATTTTCTCGCACCGTTTCAATTTGTCTTTGACAAATTTGACGTAGACATCTTTCAACGCTTTATTGACACTTTCCGTTTGAAAGACACTTTTCTCCGCGGTGATGTTCTCCATCGCACCAATAGCAACGTCAAAGAGTCTTTCAAATATGTGGACGATTCTCCTTGTTAAGATGTTAATCACTGGGTTGAGTGCTTGTGCTGCTTTCGTCTTAATCACAACACTGACCACTCGTTCTCCTCCATTCAACATTCCTCCTATCGCATGGATGCCCATCGCAACACAAACCTCGTCGGCAGTTGGTACTGGTAATTCCAAAGTCAGTAACGCAGCTTCTGTCTCTCTCATCAGTCTTTCGTATTGTGCTCCTCCGTACAGTTTCATATCTTTCCCAACGATGTCTATTTCGTTCCCAAGTCCTCCCCATCCATCTCCTCCATTCACTTGTCTTTCTTCTCCAATGGTCTCTCCATATTCTTTAGGATTAACAGTGCACTCTCCAGTTATAAGTTGAATGATCAAATTACCGATTCCACTCACATCACTTCTCAGCAAGCTTTTCAATTCGTCGTCCGCAACAAAGTTTCGTTCTTCTTCTTGTAACGCTGATACTTGTTTCTCAAGCTCTATAACGCTCTTTCTCTTCTCGGTAATTTTAGTGTCAATTGAATAATCGTAGAGACTCAACACTCGATTCTCTAGCATTTCCTTCAACCTCCACATCCCAATTTTCTCCTTTTCGTGCTCTCCAATTCCCAGACTTGCAAGCCTCTTGACACACTCAAGGTGCTTTTCGTCCAATTCTTTCTTGAATGAATTTTGGCATTTCTCGTTCACGACGCTGACATAGATCTCATCGTACTTCTCATCATCTGCAAAAAACTGCTCCAAATCAGTTTTAGTTTTCATTTGGTGGATTTCTTCATCAAAGTCCGTTAATACAAAAATTGGATTTTTCATGTTTTTCTGTTCTGCGAAATTTCTCGCGGAGTCGCTTTCGCTCTTCTGGTTATATTTGTCGACACATATTGTGACATTGTTTTTTGCCAAATAGAGTGAGTACATTTCGTCGACTTTACTCTTCATTTTATCGTTCCCAAATTCAAGGTCGATGCTTGGTAAGTCGATCAAACACGATGGAATAACGTTGTTAGACACAATTTGAATTTCAATGGGTTGCGCACAGACATTCGACTCTCCAATTTGTTCGCAGACCCCTTTAATAACATCATCGACCGAATTTAAATTGAATTCAGTCCAGCGTCCGTTCTCTTTAAAAGTGCACCTTGTCTGTGTGAGTTGTCTTGAATACACCAGGTCAAACACAACTGGAACAGCAACACTTCTTTTGTACGAGTAAAACTGTTCGCCGACAATCGCCTCGATAATTTGTATCTTATCCGAATTGTGCTTTCCAAAGATAAGTATTTTTGGCTTCTCAGCGCCGTTTTCCGTCGATGCAATGTCTTCGTATTTTTCATAGAAAATGAGTTTCTGTCCGTCAGAAGAAGACTTCTTGTCCATACACGCACGTTCTTTCTTTAATACATCTTCTATCTTCTTCTTCATCTCCTCCATTTCTCGCTCTTTCGCTTTCTCCTCTTCGCTCTTCTCATGTGAAGCTGATACCTTTTTGGCAACTAAGTTACGAGCCATTTCCTCGATGTTCATCATGTTTTGTGTCGACTGTTGGCTTGCAGGAAGCATCCCTTTTGCCGCTTGAAGAATTTCACGCATTGTCTGTGTTGATGTCATTATTGTTATAATCGTTTTTTAAAAATTCTTTTATATCCCTTTATTCTATCCATAATCAATTCCTCAATTATTCAACTCAATATATAGTTCTGTTATTAATAAAATTGTATTATTCTATTATTACATAAATAACTCATATGAAAATTATTTTTTTTTCATTGAAACAAATTGAAGAAAAAATTTACTATTTTGTTTATTGGACTTTATAATAAAAAGGTTGATTGAATTGCTATTATATTGTTTTATCTAACAATTTTAGTTATATTATTATTAGATCAAACTACTTTTTTTTTGAAATGAAATATTTTGTTATTAAAATCATTTGTTATTTAGTTGTTTTATTTTTAGTTTTTTTAATTAAATAACTTATTATTTATTTAGTAAATTTTTTTAATTATTATAATTTTAATTATTATAATAACTAACTCATACTATTATTTTATTATATTATTAATATATTTAAATTATATACTGTTTATAATAAACAAATAATAAAATTTTAATTAAAATGGAAAGTTATGTTATTTTTTTATTTAAATACTTAAGATTATGGTTTTATATTAATATTTTTTTAAACTATTTTAAAATTTTTTTTTAGCTTTAAAAAATAATATTTTTCTGTTGAATATATTTTATTTCCAACGAATAAATTTCGTATTTTTTCATTTGAAAAACGGGTACATTAGATTAATTGAAATTTGATACTTTTTTCCTCAGAAAATGAAATCAACCTATTTTTTCCAATAACTTTTATTATTATTATTTTTATAATAATAATATAATTGTTTATTCATGTATTGAAATTTCCCACAGAAAAGTTTTTTTATTATTGATTATTTTGCCTTTTTTTTATCAATTATTTATTATTTTTACATTCCTAAATCATAATTATAAAAACAAAGTTTATTTGAATTTGTTTTTTATAATTGTTATTTTTCTTTTTTTTTATAAAAAATATTTTTATACTTAATTAGTTAAGACCAATATTTTAAAAATATGTTTCAAAAATACAACCTTAGTTTTCTAAATTTAACAAAAACTTTTCGGCCTTCAAAAAGAAAAAAGAAAAAGTTTTCCTTTCTATTGATTTTTTAAATGATTTTTCACAATAAAATGGAATTTATCTTTTATTTATTCACATGTCCCTTTCCGCTTTCACACCAGTTATGACAAAAGGGTTTTTCCTTGTGGTTGAAGGCTCCAACGAAGTACCGATATCACGACACAAATACATGCATACAGTTACACGACAAAGTTCGCCATCTCAAGCGACTAAAAATGACTTCAGCTCTCCTTGTAAACGAAGGAAATGGGCTTTTGAGTTAAAAAAGCGAGCTGTTAAATTAGCAAGAAAGATGGGTGTAAACAACGCAATTGAATATCTTTTGATGGTTGACAAAAACTACTTGGGGCTTTCCCCTTCAACTCTTCAATATTGGCTTCTTCAAGCCGAAGGAACAAAAAAGGAGTTTTACAACTGACTTCAATACAAATGTAATTAAACTATATCTTATTAGTATATTATTTCTATCATCTATTTATTATTATTAAATTAAAAATATATCATTCTATCTTACTCGATATAACTCTCTAGTAATTTATAATAAATTTAAACTATTAAAAATTATATTATAATATATGTATAATTAAACTACTGAAAAAAATCTTAGATAAAGACTGGCTGATATCCCTTCTCTTTGAGTGCATCTTCGAGTCTCTTCTTGTAAACACCATCTGCTACTTCAACAACTAATCTGACATTACACATTCCAATGCCGGCATTCTTTTTGACTTGTACATCGTACAACTGTGCCTTTTGTTCAGCGACAATGGAGACAATGTCGTTCAAGACATCTCCAGAGTCGGGGCACAAGATGTCGAATCTCAGGCTTCTCTCACAGTTGATGAGTCCGACATCGATGATGTTATTAAGGAGTCGCATATTAACATTTCCACCAGAAACTATACAAACAGCTTTCTGTCCTTTCTCAATAGGAAGTCTTCCACTTAATAATCCAGCAATAGACAAGACACCCGCACCCTCGGCAATAACTTTACTTCTTTCCATCATCAACATCATTGCCTTTGTGATTTCACTTTCGTTGACGGTGATGATATCATCAACATACGAGTCAATCATTTTCAGTGTTAATCGACCAATGGAATTGACCACGTCCGTCAACTCGTTCTCTTCATTTTGATGTGTTCTGCAGATGACGTGGTGCTTCTTCGACAAATACGCCGATGACCCTTTCTCGCTCTGAACACCATAGATTTTCACACGAGGATCCATAGTCTTAACTGCTAATCCAATACCACATATCAAAGAACCACTTCCTACAGGTACTATGATAGCATCTACCTCCGGTAAGTCTTTGAGAATTTCAAGACCAATGGTCCCATCACCAGCAATGATGGAAACGTCGTCTCTAGCTTCGATGTAAGCAAGTCTCTTGTCTTCAGACATCTTTTTAGCGTATGCCTCTGCTTCTTCAGTTGTATTTCCGTGTAATTCGACGGTGGCTCCATATCGTTTCATCGTCTCAACTCTTCTTGGGAATGTGAACGATGGGCAAATGATGGTGGCCGGAACGTCTAAGGTCTTTGCGCAGAACGCGACCGCAAGACCGTGGTTTCCGCATGAAGCGCAGATGACTCCGCGCTTCTTCTCTGCGATGGTGAGTGCGTTGAATTTGTTCATGACACCTCTCACTTTGAAAGAGCCACTTTTTTGCATGTTTTCAAGTTTGAGGTATGTGTCGATTCCGATGTCGGCAGAGATTGAGCCGTTTGATTCCAAAGGAGTGTGGTGGATGTTTGGGTTCAAAAAGTTTTTAGCGGCGAAGACATCGGACAAGAAGATTTGTTCGAGAGGTGTTTCGTCGTTGGTCATAATTTCGGAAAACGAGGGTGAGCGGAGTGCAGCAGCAACTGGGACTACAATGTCTGACATAGCAATTGTTTTTCAGAGATTTTCATTTTTTATATTTTTTCAAGGAAGTGTAGAAGACACCCTCACCTTCCGTTTTTTGGTGAAGAAACGAAACAATAGACTATTGGTTATTCGACTCGCTGTTTTACACTCTTTTTATAGTAAGTTTGTGGGCTTTCTGTGACGGCTATTCGAAGTTTTTGTGGATTATTATACACTTTTTAAAAGCAAAATACGACGAAAGAACCTATTTTGCCCTCTTGTTATTCAATTAAACTATGCTTTATAATTTATGAACTAGTAGCGTTATTATATTAATAGAGCATCAAAAAAATTCTAAAGATTCTAAACTACATCAAATGGTTAAACAAACTATAACGAAGAGAAATCGATAATCCACTTGCCAAATTGAGTCTTTTACCGATTCTTTTTATTATTTAGGCGAAGGATAATCAGAGTTTTCTTGTGTTCAAAAATTATGCCAATTCACCAGCAAATACACGGTATAAACGTGGTGAGTTTTCACGCTGATTTGTAATCTATTTTCATTTTATTTATATTTTTTTGTATATATTTTCAGTTTTATACTCCAATAAAATCGGGCAGTTCGGGTAAACAGTTTCTACGAAATAATTTGTTTTTTTGAAAACAATGAAACCTTGCTAAACCCTGAAAGAGTTTCTTATTATATCAACAAAAAATAAAAAAAATAAGGAAATTAATACAAATTGGGGCGTGAAAAACTTGGAAAGAAGATAAGATTCCTTGACAACAAAAGACAAAACTCCAAAATACACAAATGGACGTTCCATACGACGTGTTTTATGTGTTCCCAAACGAAAGACTTCCTATTGGGAAATATAATCCTTCCGATAATCAAGACAAACGCGTTCCAAGAGAAACAGAGGAACTTGCTTCTGTTTCTTTCGAAGACGATGATTCGATTGTTCCGGATTACACCAAGTACAGCCACAAAAAGACGACAGAAGAAAATAATAAAGAGGCTGTTGACACATTTGCCGACTTCATGGAAAATTTCAATGTGGATATGGAACAGACTCTACAAGAAGAAACAGAGCACCAAAAACCAAATCCACTTGTTGGAAGTATGCCTGTCAAAGAGAAACACAAAAAAACAAAAAGTGGGTGTGTTGTTGTATAATTTATATATCTTATTGTGTTTAATAATTAACACTATTTTATATTGCACACACAATCTTTTGTTGTTCTAATATAAAACACATTTATATAGTAATATTATTAATATAGTTATATATATATATAATATATATAACTATATTATAGTAATATATTATGTATTTATGTATTACTAGTTATAGAAAATAATGGTTTAATATATCAAATAACATACTTTGGTAATAAGTGCTTCAATCAATAATTCAGAACACGTCATTTAGTGTGAAAAAAACTGCTTAAAATATGAATTTGTTGTTTTCTTTGTTCTCTATGATTTGTTCGAGTTTTTTGATTTCTTCAACAACAAACTCCATTGCCTCTTTATCTCTTGCGTTTATTCGAATGATCATTCTTTCACTGATTTCACGAACTTTTCTGATTTGCTTTGAGTTAAAAACCTTTGTCACGTTGTTCTCGTTAACCATTTCGACAACGCTTCGAAGCATATGACAGACTGCCCGTTCGTCTTCTTCTTCGAGCACAGGGTATGAGATTAAGCCGACAATCCCGTCAACAAAAGATTCGATGAAAAAGACATTTTTGACGTGTTGCATCATATACACAAAGAGAATCGAAATTGCAGGAAATACTCCAGCAACTTTAAGACTTAAAAGCTTTCGACAAATTGAAGGTACCTTTTCAAATATCGTGTCCCGCCTGTGAACAATTACTCCAATCAAAATTTCAATCCCAATTGCAGTGCTTTGCGTCGTTTTCATCAGAAGAAGCTCTTCTAAAATGTCGTCAGTGATGTCGACATGCACAGACAAGAGTACCAAATTAGTGATAAGAAGCGCCTGTAAATCCTCTCGAATACAATTCATCGCCATTGCGATAAGGTCTTTTGTGATCTTCAAAATTTGTTCTGTGTTAACAACAGACTTTCTCTCATCAAGCAATTCATATCGAAGTTGTGTCAGTAACAACGGCAAATTGTCGTCCTTTGCTTTTGTAATTTGACTAAACAGTTCGTCAGCGGTGCTTTTCGTCGTGCTACTTGGCACCAACGAAAGAAATTCGATGATTTGTGGGTACAACGCCGCGTCGACTTCTAATATGTCTGGTAACAGCTGTGAAAGAGTCATTTGGTGATTCGGTAGTGACGCCGTTTTTGAAACTTCTTGCATGAAATACTTGAGGTAATTCGAAACCAAACTAAAGTGTTGTGTTTTCAGTAAATTCCTCAAAATGTTTTTGTAAGGGAAAGACTCCGTTTTGAAGTAGACGACATCGTTTAGCAAACTGATAGTCAAGAGCACAATTCCCTCATCTTCAATTTCTGTGAATTCTGATGTCATTTCCTCTAAAAATTGAATTTGTGCCTCTTTGGGTAACTTGGGGACGACCTGTTTGAACATCTCTATGACCTCCCCACTATGGTCCTTTGCCTCTTCGGACGCTTTTATAGTCGCTTCAAACTTCTGGTAGTTATCCAACAACGACATGTACAATATCAAAAGTTCGATGATGTATTTGTTCGCCTCACTCAATGGAGCGTCTATTTTTAGTTTCACACCAAAACGGAACAACGAAGCAATAAAGCTTGTCTTTTCCAGTTTTTCGATGAACTTTTCGTCTATCAAATTGGCCACTTCTATGTACGCAATTTGATTCTGCAAATTCCAAATAATGTCTTTGACAGCCTCTCCAACGAAGTTGTCATGGTTCATCCGCAGTAAGCTGATGTAAGGCCTCACTACAATTTTCTGTAAATACTTTGCTGGGTCGACAGCAGACAGTACGATGAAGTACAACAGCTTTAATTGATTTTGTTGTAACAACTTTGGTCGCAAGTACTTTTCGAAGTTGTTGAGGATGAACATAAAGAGTTGTGGTTGCACATTTTCAGGAACAAGTTGTGTCAACACAAAGGACGCTGTTTGTTGGATGTATTGTTCCATGTTGCCGCTCGCAAAGTGGATTAAAATGATAAGGAGTCCATGGCAATTGACGATCATATCAAACATTAACATTTTCAGGGCAGTCTCAACGTCTCCACTGTTAAGTGGCATGAGTTGCACCAACGACAAAGTAACGGCTTCGATATCCAAGTGCTCTTTCGCCTTATTCCATAGTTCTTTGTTATACCCCAACTCGACAATGCCTGACACAACATCAATAATACTCGGCTTCATTAACACTGGAACATTCTCATTGATGATCACCTTCAGAAAGGTTTCTATGATGTATTCTAGAAGTTCTTTTGTTGTTTTTCTCGTTGTTTTGAGAGTGAAAGAGGTCTCTGGGTCATATCGCTCTTCAAAAGGAAGTGTTTTAACCTTTTCAAGACCAGGAAGTATTCCCCATGCCACCACCGTCTCAATCAGCTGTGAGAATTTACTTTTATCGTGCTCGTTCAGCGAGTCATCTTCTTTGTCGTAACTCTCTCCAATTTCATCGTTAATAGCACGGATGACGTCACAGCTATATCGAACGTATATTTCTCTGACATCTGTAGTCTTCAACCGACATGATATCTGGGTAGAAAAGTCTTGCTGAGATGGTATAGGAGAATCAATGAGTGAATATTCATACATTAAAACATTTGATGTTATAACTTCCTCGATTATATGTGATTTGTACTGTGGGTCTGTGAGATATGAGAGTTGTTTGCGAGTTTTTTCATTCATCGAAAAGTGTTGTTTTGAGATTTTTTCTAATTTAATTTTTTGAAGAAAATGAAATGGTTTAAACTAAAACAAATACTATTTTTATTATTGTAAGTATTAATAAATTATTAATAATAACATTAGTAAAAACAATAATTAAACATATTAGATAAAATAAATCAAAAATAAAATTAATTTCATAATTGTGTTTATATAAAACTATTATAACTAATATTAGAAAAACTAATAATTATAATATAATTAAAAATAATAAAAACTTTTATAATATTTTTTACTCATTTGTTTTAGTAGTTTTTATTACAATAACACCTCCCAAAAGTGGGCGTTTTATTTTTAATCAATTTAAAAAAAACATTTTTTTTAGAATGTAAAATAATTCAAAATAAGAAAAAAGAAAAATAATTCAAATAGAAAAAAATTACCACGTGTTAACCTTAAGATGATTTTAAACAATGTTTAATTTGGCTCACAAAGGTCATTTTATAAAAAAATATATAATCTTATTACTTATTCATGTCTTTACCAAAATCAAAAACATTTTTATCAATTGATAAAAAAGCAAATAATAGAGTGGACAATAGCTTCCCCGAAACCTTCAATAAAAAAACTAAAAGAAATAATAAACTATAATTTACAATAATGTCCAAAACGCAAGTGTCTAAGGATGTTAAAGTATGGTATCTAGGAAAGTTTAATTGAGCTTTCAATACAAGGGAATGCCAAAGTTTTCAGAAAAGTTAAACATTCAGACTCAGAAGAAAACGTGCTCAAAATTATAGAAACTGTGAAGTCATATAATACGCTAGTTTGTTACAATGTTGTCAAGAGCTTAGATTCTAAATACTGCTTTGCAAAATGTATATGATGATATAATGCTTTGAAATGGTCGGATTTCATCGTTTTGCTCAAGAAACCAACTTAAATCAAAGAAATTATGCAAAAAAGTAATTCAGTTTATTTGTTTAAACAAAAGGATGAAATTGATAAGCTGGTTATAATTATTACATAGTATGCTTTTAGTAATATGTAAAATGTGGATGAAACAGGTCTTTTTTATAAGTTGTTATTTTCCAAACATTGTCAGGTGATTCTGATAACCATGGAGGGAAGGAGGAAAAAGAAAGAATTACAATTATGATATGCTGTTCACTAAATAGAGAAAAAGAAAATCCTATGGTTGTTGGAAAGTATCGTAATCCAATGTGGTTCTTTGATAAAAATTACATTAACGTTAAACGATTTACTACTTTCAAACTAATGCTTGTATAAACATAGAATTGTTTCGTTGATGGCTCCTCAAATGGGAAGAAGCATTTACAAGAGAAAACATTATCATTCTTCTCATAGTAGATAATTCCCCAAGCTATAAGAATATCATAATTACTACTATTAAAGAAGAACCCAGTTATAATTACAAAGGACAAAACGAAAAAGGATTGCATGTGTATGAACTAAACCTTGCACACATAAGGTTGGAATTTATACCGAAAACATGACATCGGTATTCCAGCCATGTGACGCAAAAATAATACACTCATTTAAGGTTGCATATCAAAGAAAAATTGTTAATTTAAAGGCAGAATAAATCATTGAAGCCCATTCTTGGGAAAACACAGTTTGGCTCAAAATGAATATGGGAGATGCTATATTATATGCTGTCGACTGCTGGAACAATCATGTTTCATCATAAACAATAATTGGCTGCTGGAAGCACGATTTTTTAGAGAGAAAGGTGTAAGGATTTTTGGGAGATGTAACCTATTTTATTGAAGATTTGATCGAAGAGAACGACGAACTTTCCAATTTCGAAGAACCTAAAAAACCAAAAGATATTTGTTGAGAATCGAAGAGTTGAAAATGATGGTGAGTAAAAACGATGAACTAAAAGAAACTAAACAATGGTACAAGGAACAGTGTGACAGAAAAAAGTTTACGTGGAAATAGATTTAAATTAATTTAAAATTTCGTAATTTATGCTAAAACAAACTTTGAAAAAAAATTTTGTTAACTGTCAACTTGACAACTATTTTATTTAATAAATTTTTTATTTTTGATTTTTTGTAATTATTTTTTTTGTTTTTCTGGTTATTCAAAAAAATGTTTACCAAAAAAAAAAGAATCCCGATTTATTATAACATAAAACAATAAACAGTCAGTTCTCTATCGAGCGGTTTTAAGGTTTGATTGGCTAAAAATGCCCGCTCTTGGGAGGTTTTATTGTATATAAGTATAACATAAGGTTTGTTATGTTATTAAATATTGATTTGGAAAAATAGATTATCTCAATAAACAGTACTATATTTATTATTATAATTATGTTACAAGAATAAATATTAAAAAAACATCAAAAACATTATTTTACTAACATTTTATTATTAAAATATTATTTATAATATAGTTTTAAAAAATGACAAAAAAAGTTAAAGACATGTAAATATTACAATTTTAAGATTTATTGTATTGTTGTAATTATAAATTTATTTTTTTCAAAAGATTTAAAAAATTTTTTAAAGTTTGATATTTTTAAACTTTAAAAATTTTATTTGGAAGTATTAAGATTTCCCAGAAATTACCAATTTCACATACAGTTAACGGAAAAAGTGGGATGCTGAGAAAAAGGGGGATGCTCATCTTAATATTAATTAATTTAATATTATTAATAATAAATAATTAATTTAAATTTATTCAGTTTTTTCATTTTATTAATTTTTTGATTAATAATTTATATTAAAATTAATAGTAATTTTATTATTTTTCAATTGAAATTAACCAATAGTTATGAGCATCCTTTTTTTTCGAGCATCCCCATATTTCCTCTTACTGTAGAAAAAGTATTGAAGATATCAAATCTATATATTCATTAAAAACAAACTATTATTAAAAAAACGAATTATTGTGTTTCGGGTTTTTACTATAATAAAATAATTAAAATGAATTAATAAAAAAATGTATAGAATTTTTCTTTTGTTATTAAAAAATCGAAAAAAAACAGTATGTGATAACCACTTTGAATTTCTTTTTGATATTTATGTGTCTGATAAGTGTCTAATTGCGGGAAATGATACTCAATAATTAAAATACCTATGTAGAAAAATTGTAATTCTATATTTAAAAAAATAACATTTTCTACCGTGTCTATTCTTTTTGTCAAGGATCAAAATGAATATTTATGATTGAATTTCAAACTTATTAACTCAGAGTCAAATGATGGTACTTGTGTACCTATTTATACTGATTGTGTGTTGTGTAAGCACTTGTGTGTGTTACCCCAAATCTCAATTATGCAATGGAACTTATGCAAACTCGTGTCGTGGTGAGCATCATTGTGACCACATCATCTTGAATTACTTTAATTTTACATTAACACAAGACTGTATTGAGAAAAACGGAAGACCGATTATTGTTGAAGTGGAAGATGAAGTTAGTCTCGACTTGGATTCTAATGTATTTACAAATGGTTCAAAACTACTTATTAAATACAGTGATGCAATTCTTACATTTACAAATTACAACAAGTTTTATCTCTTTGACTATATTTACAGCGAAGACAGTGTCGATAATTACATAATGAAGAGTAAAAACCCAACAAAGGGTGTACATAAAAACCATAAAAACAAAAGAAGTGTCAAAAATACTAACCAAAATAGTTACCCTAAAAATGTAAATGAAGATGGATTCATTGTAATTCCATACGCTTCTTACATATTTGAAAAGGAGTTGGAAATAGAAAACGTAAAATTGCTAATGCTAAATTCAAATCCAATTGTCAGTCTTTCAAATATTATAATTAAAAACAGTATCATAAACTTTGTGAATGAAGGTGGGGTCTTAGATTATGGCAATTTTACATGCGAGAATACTACTCTTTTTTTCGATCGATTATCACCTTTATTTGTAGTAGGAAAATTCACATTTTCTGATAACTCGGAGCTGACTACATCTAATAACTTCACGTTAATTTACAATGACGACGTTTCAATTACTAACTCTAAATTTGACTTGACAAATACATATTTGATTCCGTTGTACTCTATTGTTGTTAACTTCATTAGACCAGATTATAGTTCAATACAATTATCATCATTTCAGTCAAAGCATCTTTACACAACAAAAGCGCAACAAAAACATAAATTGGGAGCCTTCAAAAAGGAAAAGAAACAAACTCAAATGAACAATACCTTAAAACAATTTAAGTTGTTTTCTGGTATTAAAGGAAGTGCATCAAACCCAGAAAATGTAATAATGCACTTACTAGAAATTGTTATTCGAAATCAGACCATAGCTATTTCTAATGCCAATTTGACTTGTTCGTCCAATACAAGTTTCGTTACACAACACCTCTGTGAAATTGAAAATAGTGCGATTACCATTGATGGAATTTGGCCAATTAACAACCAGATCAACATAAGAAATTCAACTGTTTATATTCAAAACACGACAAACTTCAAGTTAAGTTTGCCAATTACAAATTTGACATTCACTGATTGTGATGTGAGTTTTGAGGATGCTATATACCAAGAAATATTTTTTGATTATAATAACTGCAATGTAACAGTGGGGGAGAATTCTACTGTTGGATTTTTGAATCTTGGAAACACCACGAATGGAAATTTAACGATCGGCAACGGCTCAAAGATCGCCACATTCAATTTTTGGGGAGACAAAGAGTTCCAAGAAAGTTTGAATGATACTCTTCTCTTCATTTACGTGTGGCATTTCCCATTCGAAGTGAACACAGAAGTCGATAACTTCCAGACACATTTTGGTATTACCATTAATGGATTTGAAATTGGGGGCAATTCAAAAATTATATACAATTCAAAGAATAAAATTACATACGACTTATTTTCTATAATATTGAGAGACAATGCAGAGTTTATTGTCAATGGTTCCAGTCTAAACATTGGCGTTATTTCTGGTATTCAAGGCAACTTGTTCAACAACTCAAAACTCACTCTGAATAATTCTAATGTAGTGTTTGCACAAGACTTTAATCTCTATGATAAAACTGAGATTCATGTGAATGATTCTCGAATAGCAACTACATATCTTTCTAGTAATAATCCCAGTGAAGAGAGAAATACAAAATTGGGTGCGGGGAATGATGTTGATGAAAAAAAGTCTTATATTAATTTTTACAATAAGTCAAAACTAAGGGTTTCTAATAGAATGGGTATATGGCATGGATACTTTTTTGACACGAACCTTTATGATAACTCGGAAATAGTAATGGAAGACGGATGCAATGTGTATGGATGTAACGGAGAAGGAGCGCCACAACTTCTTAAATCCAATATAAACAAAAGTTTACAAAGTTCTGAATGTCATTCATTCAGTTGGGAATATTTCTCTGAAAATGCCAAGTTAACAATTGGAGCAAATGCATTTGTGTTCTTTGAACAGTTCTATTTTAAAGAAAATCACTCGAATTATACAATTGGAACAGACAGTGTAATAGGAGCCAATGTAGCATACCTCCCAGACCTTATTAATATAGATGATCCTATGTTTCAAAATTGTGATATGTGTAATACAATCCATTTATATGGGAATATTAAGTACGTTTTAAATGATACTTTTTATAACAAAGGAGTTGCATTACATGACAATGCGTCTGCAATAATATCAAATCAAAAGTCATTCAAATTTTCGTTATACGACAATTCTACAATGGAGATATACGACTCGGAAATAACTTATTTATCGACTCTGAGCAACAAATCACGCCTTAAAATATACAGATCTGATGTATTCGCTGATGTAGTTTTGGAAGGGTCGTCTTATTTGTCATTATACAATTCAACAATCAAATCAACAAGCTTTATTATGTACGACTCACCCACTATTAGCTTTGAAGAAATGATTGAAAAGAATAATTTGATAAATACTTACTTTGTACTTGAAACAAGTAATGCAACTCTTGTTTTTGGAGACAACTTTACAACTCAAGATACAATTGGAACAAAATATAAAAATGGTGAGTGTCACTACAATTTAGAAACTGGCAACAATGTCGTCTTAAAAATATCAGACATGACGTTTGACACAGCTACTTGTAAATTTGGTAATAATGTGACCGTCATTACATACGGAATTTGTTTTTATAATTATAATGATGAAACTTTACCTTTCAATTTAACCCTTGATCAGAGTTATTATATTTCCATTTCTTATAACTCGACTTTCACTCTTCAAAATCATAATGATTACATGGACTTTTATGTTTACGACACATCGAAGTTGATTATCAGAAACAAGACCATTCCTCAACTTGATATTCAGATGTACAACAATTCAATTTTAGAACTTGAAGATGTTGAAACAAACAACTTGGAATACGCTGAATTTCTTGACAACTCCAAATCTGTATTGATAAATTTGCACTCGAATAAATCAACTGATGATTTTCGAACGGGAGAAAACGCGACAGTTACGTTTGATGGATGCAAACTTAATTTCACCGAATTTGATGTGACAGGAAACACTGAAATTAATTTTGTTCATTCAAATGTCACATTTTACAGTGGGGGAAAAACAAGACAAAACAGCAAACTAACATTCAAAGATTCTTATTATAACATTTTGAACGACTTTTATGTCAACGGTAAATTAGAATTCTCTGGTAACATCACACAATCAAAGAAAAATTGGTTTGATCTTGAAAGAGGATCAAATACATTGATTAAGTCAGACATTGTGACAAAGAACGTTTTGTGTTTTTATATTGAAAGATATTCGAAAATTGAAATTGAAGAAAATGCAGAGGTTTGGGTATCAACGCTCATTACTTGGGTTGGAAGTAATGAAGTCATCTTTCCTAAACAGGCAAAAATTGAAGTGGATAGACTCTATATAGGTTTTGACATTGAAAGTCTGGACGATATCAAGCCTTTTATTTCCAAATTCCATTATTTATATGTTGGTGGTGAAAATGATATTGTAGTGACAAACCAAATTATCGAACCGGAGTATGACTTGGGAACAGACGAAGTGGCAACACTTGAAATAGCCGGTGGGACGAAATTGAATGTGTCCAACGTTGAAATGTATTCTTTCTCAAATGTTACAATAAAGAGTGGAAGTCTTGTAATATGCAAATACTATTTTGACATTTACGACAACACAACTTTTACATTAGAAAAAGGTGGACAATTGGAAGTTAATAATTTTGACTGTGAGCATAATGCTGAAATATATGGAGATCTTATTATAAACAATTACTTTGATGTTGAAGGAGAAATCTTTGTTAGAGGAGCGTACTTATATGCTAATAAAGCAGACTTTGATTCGTCACATTCGAATTTGTATGTCAACAACTCCATTATAGAAATTGATAGTGTTAGTTCGGATTACCACGACTGTTTATTAGACTTGGGAGATAACACATTATTCTTCTACAACTATTTTCGTTTTTCTAGTGCCAACTTCACTATTAAATTTGGTAAAAATTCGAGTCTGAATGGAAACTATTTTGGCAATAAAGCAATACCCTCCTTACTCTCTTCTGGAAATAAACAAGTTATAGGAGAAACAAAGATTATATTTGATCTCACGGATACGGACAGTGACACTCCACTGATCTTAGCTAATCAAACTACATTGTTCAGTTTATACCAAACCACATTTGAATTTATTGGAAATATAGAATCCTGTGTTGATGTATTTTCTTTGGGATATACAATGCGCGAAGAATCAGTAAAAGGATCGTTTTTCAAAATGTATTCAAACGAGACTCACAAATTATTAACATTGTCAAACAACGGACTTTTAAGATACTGTCCAATAGACGACATTAACAACACCGTGATTTGTAAAATGTTACAAGATCGCTATTATTATTCAAACGATGATGGAAAGTATTACGACTACAGACACTGCCCATGTAACGACGATGAAAACACAAATTGCTTCTTTGTTCCACACTCAAATGTTTTGAAAACGCCACAAAGTGTTTCACATAGAGTCAACTTGACATTTACAGAACCCATTGAAACGATCCAAGTTGGAAGAGGGTTTTCTACCCAAATAATGAATGGGTGGTTTGACACATTCAACTTCTTTAACGACTTTGTCTTCACAAGAAAGTTTGATTTTGACCCAAATAGTGTGTTACAACCAATGAGTCTGGAAGAGAACACAGCGCCATTTATGACTGTTGGAATATCAGATGATGAATTATCTTACATGACTGCAAAAATCGAAGAGAACGAGGGTCTTGTTATGAAACAATTTGAAACTGAAGCAGAATTTGATTTCACAACGAATGTCCCATATGTTCTTATGGTAACACAAGACCAAATCAAGTTTGAAGGAAATGACGGATATGTCACATTTTATTTTAACAATGTTACGATGTATTTTGAGGCTACAAACAAAACAAAGGTGATTACAAAAGACATGATGACAGATGGAAAGTTCTTTTGTTCCGAAACACTGTTCACGGGAAGCGAATTTAAGTGTGAAGGTGTTTTCTATTTGACTTGTGACGCTGGTGAGTTTGCAGACTTCTTATCACAGAAATGCCAAATGCAACCAGATGGTTCAAAGAAGTGTTTTTCACTCCAAGAGTGTGTTGCGTGTAATGATGGGTACATAAGAGACAACGATCAATGTGTGAAGAAAGGTGATGGTTGTGTGTTTTCTAGTAGTGATGAGTGTCGAGTATGTGACCTTGGTTATAACCTCAAAGAGGGAAAATGTTTGAAATGTCCGGACGATTGTGGGGTGTGTGAGAGTGATATGGCCACGTGCGACATGTGTTATAATTCAGCTCGAAACCAAGAGGACAATAGTTGTTACCAAATAAATGGGTCTGAATATTACAAAGATGGTGTTTTGGTTCAATGTGATAATTCTCATTACTTAGAATCAGGAACAAAATGTGACTTGTGTGAAACACAATTGTCCAACTGCGCTTATTGTGATCACAACAGTTTGTGCACCAAATGTAAAAATGGGTTTGTGTTCAATGCCAAAAACGAGTGTGTTGAAAGTCATTGTAAAGATGTCAACTGTGAAGTCTGTGAAGACGGTTATGCGTTCATGGATAACGGGACTTGTGCACTGTACTCTAAGAAGTGTAAAATAGTTAGGAATGGTATTTGTATTGACTGTGAGAACGGCAACACTCTTGTTGATGGAGAGTGCGTCGAGACTTCAATTCCTCAATGCAAAGAGTATACCACATCAAACGGGTGCTTAATTTGTGAAGATGGGTACTTTAACAATAATGGCATTTGCGATAAATGCGATGACAATTGCAAGACATGCATGACAACTTCAACAAACTGTTTGACATGTGAAGAGGGCACTTTTGTATCAGAGGGAAGATGTTCCACAAACGAAGCGCTTGTTGGTATTTGTTTACAGTACGCAGCGACCGGAGGATGTGTGAGATGTAAGGAGGGATATTACAGAGACAAATTTTCATGTACCCAATGCGATTCAGAATGTGAGACATGTTTAACGTCGGGAAGTTGTACTCTCTGTAACGTGTATAACTTCATGACATTTGAAAACACGTGCAAAAACAAGAGTTTAGTAGAGGGATGTCAAGGAGATGTGTCGAGTGTGAGTGGGTGTCTGCAATGTTCTATTGGATTTTATTTATATCACAAAGAGTGTTATAAGTGCGACGAGTCATGTTTAACATGTGACAGTTCGTCTGAATGCCTTACTTGTAATTCATCTGTTGTATACACAGATGGCAAGTGTCTTCAAATGTCGCAAATAGAAAAGTGTGTTTCTGTAGGAAATTCAAAGTGCGACAAATGTGCGTTTTGGAGTGCTCCGAATGATGATGGAACTGAATGTGTTTCTGAGGCGGTATGGTGGGTCATTTTGTTGTGTGTTTTCTTCGTGGTTATATTGCTCGTTCTTTTGGTAGTTCTGACGACTGTTATTATCAACAAACTCGTGAAGAAACAAGCTCAGAAGAAACAAGAAAAGAACATCTGTGTATTCAAGATGAAACGAAGCAACATTTCGTTCCCATATGAAGTTAACAAAAAGTTGGTTTCAAATAAATCGAAACTGACATTTAAAGACGAAGCTGAGCAAATTCCAGTGGGAGAAGAGAGTCGAGAATTGATCTGTTTTGGGAACACGAGTGACTCTTTAATGAAAGTGCAGATTACAGTGAAAGAGGGCTGCACAAAGTACCAAATTCGTAGTAGTCCAAATATCATCAATCTTAAAAAAGGTGAAGCGTGCGAATTTGAGATATATATTCTTCCTATGTGCACGTCAAATACTGAAGATACTATTAACATCATTTCGCTCTATATGAAAGATGGGAAGCCCGTCACAACGCCATTCAAAATAACAGTTGAAACAGTGATATCAACTAGACTTGATTATGAAGATTTGGAAGAAGAACAAAAGATAGGAGAAGGATCATTTGGAATAGTGTATAGAGGAACATACAGAGGAAACATTGTTGCGATCAAGAAAATGAAACACCACAATGGAACAGAAGAAACAGAGTTGACTGAATTTGAAAAGGAAATTCAAATGCTCGACAAATTTAGAAGTGACTTCATCGTCCACTTCTATGGAGCTGTATTCATCCCAAGCAAAATCTGCATGGTCACTGAATTTGCAAAGTTTGGATCCCTTCATGATTTGATAAGAAACAAACCGTTGGAACCGTTTGCAATGAAGCTTCGTATTAAGATAATGACAGACTTGGCAAGGGGTGTCGAATATTTACACTCAAATGGGATATTACATAGAGACATTAAACCAGACAATATTTTGGTCGTTTCAATTGAAGATGATGTGTTGGCGAATGGAAAATTGACCGACTTTGGATCAAGCAGAAACATTAACATGATGATGACGAATATGACATTCACAAAAGGCATTGGGTCACCGTCTTATATGTCACCAGAAGTGTTACACCAAGAAAAATATAAGAAGGCGGCGGATGTGTTCTCGTTTGCAGTTACTATGTACGAGTGCTTGAAATGGGGCGAAGCATACGGAACTAATGATTTCAAATTTCCTTGGAAAATTGCCGAATTTGTCAATGATGGGCATAGACTCCCAAAGACGGCTGAAATGTCTGAGGATGTCTATGATGTTGTTGAACGGTGTTGGGCACAGGACGCAGTACAACGACCTTCTATTTCTGAAGTTGTGAAAATGCTTACAACAGCAAAATTTTAAATGAGCAAGTAAATAAATAAAATTGAATTTAGTTTATTAATTACCACATAAACAACTTCAAACCCAAGTATACGACCATTTTATGGTTGTTTTTATATGTAGGTTTAATAATAAAACAATTGATTTTTGATCATTTAAAAATATTTTTAATTTTATGTATATTTCAATACAACAAATAACACTAACAGTAAAAAGTCAATTAGAAGTAAAGAGCGATTAAAAGAGCAACCAGAGCAACTAACAAGGATGGCGCGGCTTCTTTAGACTCTTTTTCATTTGCAGAAGAATCATCTGAGACATCAACAACATCTTTGTTGGTGGTTGGTACTCCCTCGGCCTGTAGGTCGATGGTTGTGATTTTGAAGTCGATTGGGAGGTCAGTCACTTCAATGCGCTGAATGGAGAAGGTCTGGAGTGTTCCCTTTTCATCGGCAATTGTCAATGGGACGTAGACACGTGTTGCGACACCCGACTTTACTATGTAGTCATATGGTTTGAGTTCGGTCTCTGTCTGCTGGTTGTACTCCTCAGAGAAGAGTCTGGTTCTGAATCTCATAGTTTTGACCCTGTCAGAGACATAGTACACCTCAAATGAAAAGAAATTCTGTCCGCCTGTCTGCATTGGTGACGATCTCTGAACTCTGATTGTGTCCCAAGTCCTCAACGTCGCAGCAAGAAAGTTGGTTGTAGAGTTCTTCTGCAACTCGATGTCTGTCCCAGCCGTGTTGAGCAGCGCCCACGAGTCGAGAAATTCTTTTCCATCAAACATTGTGTATGAATTTACACCGATAACTAATATCACTAAACTGATCATCTGTTGTTTGGCATGGGCCGAGTTCCTTTAATACACTACATTTACTTTTTTTGTTCACTTTCTTGTGTCTAGTTCAAGTCCAATAAAAAAGTCAAACTTTTTTTTAAAACTGAATTATTGGTTTTAATTTATTATATTTTTTTAATAATAAGACTTTCTAACTTTTTGCTTAAAACTTTAGAAATAGTTTTCTGTTTTTAGCATAACAACAATATAAACTATTTAAATAGTAAAGTTACAATAAATAATTTTAATACGACAATAAACAACAATAAGTTCGCAAAAGTCAAAAATCTTTCAGGTGTAATAAAACACTTTTCGAATAACGGGTGTAAATGGTTCTTCGAGGAGCGGTGACAATTAGTTCATTTTCAAGAGATTTGCGAGACAGTCTGTGCGCGAATTGATTTTTCTTTGATTCATCCTCTTCCAGCATAAGAGACGTATGTTTCACAACTTTGGTTGTAAGAAGTGACATTTAATTGTTGAAGATGTGACACGCTTTATATATTCGTGGAGTAGTGATACACACCCCTATAAATTATAACATACTTTATAATACAGTAAACTATAACTTATAGTTTATTATCCAAGTATATCCTTCTATCATCCAATCCAAACATTAGAATTGATAATTAGTAAAAAAACAATTTTAGTGGTGTTTAAGATGTGATAATAAGCACCCCGGTCTCTTTTTTAATATAACAAATAATAGCCCCATGTTTTATTTTTGTTTAATTCTTGCTTGTGGCTCAGTAACAACACCACCCTTTCACTTTGGTTATGGTTGGTGACTAGAGTAAACCTGAAGAATATCTATTGATGACGAAACAAATTCCAAAATAAAAAATTATTAATATTTGTTTGTATTTTGTTGAATAAAACCATATTTTTTGTTGTTAATTTGTTTAATAATCGTAATTTACAAAACATGGTGTGAGAACGACTGACATAAACTGTATTGATTGATGATTTAAATTGTTAAAGTGGTTGAGATGTGTAGTTATATTCTAATGTATTAATTATTTTCACAAATTATGTAAGTTTTTTTATAATAATGAAGTTAAATGTTCATTGTCAATCTATTGCAATTGTTTTTGTTGTTTCAACAGACAACAATTAAAATTTGAATTACAATTCAAGTAATGGAATTGATTTATTTGTATCAATGATAACATTGAAATTGTTCAATTTGGATTAAGTCTGAATGATATACAATGTACCAACTTTGAATATACTTTTCATCCTAAACATGATGACAAATCTTTGGTAACTCAACCTGTGTGTGTTTTAAGAGCTCATAAATGGTAATGTGTTATTTTACATAAGTGCACACAACAAAACATTTATTTTTGCAATCTTGCTGTAATGTGTTGCTTTTTGTGTTTCAAAAGAGACTTGAATAACTAAATTCTCACTTTTAAACTCACTTGTGAAAAAATGACTCATTTCTAAGCTTTTTGACTCACTTATATATAAGTAACTCGCTTTAAAATATAATTTACTATTTTAATAGTTAATAATATAATAAATTAAAATTTCTTTATAATAATAAAATATAGTTTTTATTTTAATTGCTATTTAACTATTCACTGAATCAATAACTTGACAATTTGAGCAAATTTGCCTTCAGTCTAAATAATTGATTAATAGTCTTTGATAGGAAAAACAAATAACATTTTTACATACTTAAATAATTCTTGTTATTGTATTATCATATAATAATGACAAATTTATTAATTGATTTTGAATAAATACTTGTTGGGTTTAATAATAATTATTATTATTATCACTCTTTGCTTTCAATACAGTAACAAAACATTAAGTGCTAAGTTACTGACTATGACTAAGCAAAAGAATTTAATTTAATGATATAGACCACTCAGAAAAGTATCGAACAATCATGGTGAATCATTCAAATTTTTCATCATTGTGGCGATTAGATGACTTATTTTTTTCTTTTTATACTCAACCTTTGTTTTTTGACAACAATATTTTTAATTATTATAATACTATTTAAACTATACACATTATGAAAATACCAACTAAAAACGAGTAGAAAAAATTTATAAATACTTTTTTTCCTATTTCTATTTCAAAAAACAACAATTCTAGTTGTTATAATAATTTTATTATAAAATAACTGCAGTCAATAATGTATATTTGTGATACAACAAATAGATAACTGGTTTGTCATTTATAAAATATATTCTTGAACTTGGATTGTTTGTGGAATTAAAACCTATATTTAATTTAAATAACTTGCAATATTAAAAATATATAATTTCACATTCTACTTTACAACAAATAGATGCTTATTATTTTTGATTATGGAAAAAGAAACACTCTTGACTGGTATTGTTGGTTTACGAAAATGTGTTGGAATTTATTATCACTTCATTGTATTATAATTAATTACTATGTTATTATTAAATAGACAATATTTAAGAATTGAAAAAAATTTTTTAATTACTTTTGGCTATAATTTTTTTAAAGAAGGCATTTTTTGGTATTGTTATTATTTTAATTAAAATTTGGTTTTCAGCTAACTAAGTGTTAGCACTTAAAAACAAACAAAATAAATTTGGTTATGAATTATTCGAAAAATTGTATTTTTTAGCCTTAGTCCATTTGAGTGTTATAACCATCATCAAGATGCTCATAAAGTAAGGTTGCTTTTCACATTTTGTAAAAACCTTTCAATTGAAATATACAAAAAGCTTATGTTGACGAAATAGTGAAAGACTTAAAGTCGACTTATTTGAAACAATGAGACTTTACAACAAAATAGAGGTTGTATTGGTTTAGGCACTCGTAAATAAAAAAAAATGAAAATTGTAAGTCTTGAAATGGAGACTGTATATAAAATATAAAAAGGGTGGATGTAACGAGTATTTCAATTAAGTTTCACTCTTGAATAAATCTTAAAAAAATCGAAGGAACCCCAACTAAAACGGAGTTGATTAGG